GGGGGGGGGGTTGATACGGAGGGAGAGGGAGAGGGAGAGGGAGAGGGGAGTGTTCGGGAGATGGATGGAGCTGTGCTATGCTATGCTATGCTATGTTGATAGCTGATAGCTGGCTTGTCGCTTGGAGCTTGGAGCTTTATTGCTGCGGCGGGTTTGTTGGTTGGTGATTTGACGATGGGATTTGTGGAATTTTTTGATACTGTTGTTGTTGATTTTCTGCTTTGTGGTGGTGGTTGGTTTGGTTTGAGGTTGGAGTCGAGAGGGAGGTCTGGAGTTGAAGTGGAGTGGTGATCCAAACCTGGGTGGGGCTTGGAATGAGGCTGAAATGTCAAATTACGTAAGTATTGGATTGGAGCTTGGAGCTTGGAGCTTGTGAGGGGAGTGCGGCCTTATAGAGGTTAGTCAGCCGGAGGGATATTCTGTTTATGTGAGCACTTCTTCCACCTCCATCTGTCTTCTACCTCCCTCTCTCTTACATCATCACCTCTTTCACCCGCTCTACTTGGGCTGCTATACCAGGTATTTGATAATGTCACACTGCATTTCATGACTCGGCTTGAGGAACACAGCATAGTCCGAGTATAGAGGCAGGTGGACCTCGCTTTGCGATGTGCTGTTTTGTTTGTGCGTAATTGGTTTTGAAATCTGGAGATTGCATATCTGCCTGTTTTACTGGAGTAAGGGATCGGGTGGATGAAGGATGTTCCATTTTGCTACCCTTCTTCCATAACATGTTGAGTTGTTTTGGGTCTTGGGCATTGAGCTTGAAGTGACGCAAGACCGATATCACTTCGGTCGCTCGTTTGCTCTGCTCGTATCATCCATTATACACTTTCAACCCTGGCTTAATTCTGGCGTGTCCATATATGCGTTCACATCGTATTATTGAAATGTTGCTCTTCTCTTTATACCAAGTTCACCTCTCTGACCGTCTCAGATGGAAACCCTCCCAATCGAGCTCCGGGCCTCCGTCCTCCAATACCTCCCCCTCCAAGAGCTGAAAAACATCCGCCTTGCCTCCAAAAACTGGGCTCTCCTAGGCGAGAACTATCTCATGTCCCCTTCCTTCATAAGTGCCCCCCATAGGCCCGATACTGTCCGCCTGCACAAGATCTCCTGTCATCCCACCTACGCTCGTCAAATCATCTCAGTAATTTTTAACCACGGCGGACTCAACGAATACCCCCCGCGCCAACAACTCCACTTCATGAAACACTATTATCGGCGTAGTATCAGGGACCAGCAATCCGAGACGTGGAAGGCTTCCGCGAACTTTAACCGAGTCGAGGAGAAATTCCTTTCAGGTCCTTGCGACGAGGCTATCCTCACAGACATCTTCTCTCGCTTGCCGAATCTACGCGAAGTGAACGTCACGTTGGTGGCATCTTGTCCGATCTCAAAAGCTGATCGCAAAGTGCCGCGTCTGCTGCGGGACGTCTGGCTCTTCATCCCTTCCCCGCGGCCCCTGGACAGAGTCGCGATAGTGGAACGTATGAACGCCATCGTACGCGTCTTATCTAGTAACTCCCCCACCATGAATATCACTTCGCTAGTACACGACCGGCTTCCCTTTGAGTTCTTCGCGCAGCAAAGCGCCCAGATCGCACTCCCGCAACCCTCCGCCACCCACGTTCTCCACTCACCCAGTAGCAAACCGGTACCCTTCGTCTCCGCGTTCCGGAACTTGGCCCGCGTCCGTCTCGCGCTGGATTACAGCAATCAGCTGAACGACAAGCACATGAACCTCGTGTTCGCCAACCTCGCGCAGTGCCTGCAAGCTGCCGCTCCATCGCTGCGGCACTTCGGATTAGCGATTCTGGGAAACCGCAAGCTCCAAATCCGCTCTTTCCTCGCCATCTTCGCGGAGCAGCGGTTCGCCTTTCCTTGTCTGCAAAGTATTGCGTTACAGGGCGTCCGAGCGACGGAGGAGGAGCTTGGCGATTTTCTCGTGGCCCTGTGCTGGGGCGGCCATGGAAGTTTGAAGAGTGTGAGGCTGGGTGGCAAAGGTCTCCCAAGCTGTTCGAATGGTGGGGGTGTGCTGCTTGAAAGAGGGAGCTGGAGCGGCCTTGCGAAGCGGTTAGGGAGGGAGATGAATGGGGTGGAGGTGCGCGTGCAGCGAGACACGAGGAGCCGGGAGAATAAGCATTTATGGGCCTTCGACGTTGCTGTTGATATCGGGGAGTTGGTATGAATCGCTGCTCCTTCTAATGAGGTGGAAGGGGCCGATGCTCCTTCGACTTGGGATTCATAGTATCGTTCTCAGGTTGATAATTGGTCGCTACCTTACTTACTGTTATCTCCTTCCTGCTTCAAGATATTGCAACCTTTTTAGAATCTTCAGTGTTCATACTTTAGCGACTACGGGCCTCTGGCAGCGGCTTAGATAAACCTTTACGACCTTTGCATCTGCTGCTACTTGATCTCTGCACATTTTTACATTAATTTTTGTCTTTCTCTTGGAGGTATAGATTGTAGCTTGGCTAAGGTGCGTAAAACAATTTTCAGATACGCATTATCAATCCTTGCGCAATATTCTTGCGAAGTCTGTTTCCTTCTTGTTTTTAAATCTAGATCGCGGCGCCTGCTGCCTCAATATATCCTCTCCCCTGGTTCTAACATATACCTGATGTACGACATCCGCGTAGCCCCAAAACGGAAATTTCTTAGTCCCGAAATTTTCGATCGTGCTTCATACACACCAGCATATTCCCGCCCTCTTCCTGAGCCACTCACGCATCTACTCACTCACTCACCTATGTGCGTCCCATACAGCAACCCCTCGACCATCTCCGCAATCGCCAAGCTCGACGTCAGCCCGGGACTCTCAATCCCAAGCAAGTTGACAAAGCCCTCGTAGCCCGCCTCCTTCCTGGCCACGAAGTCCAAGAACTCCTTCCCGCTCGCCACCGCGCCCGCCTTCCCCAGCTTCGGCCGGATGCCCGCGTAGTCAGGCTGGATGCACTCCTCCTTGACGCCGGGCAGGAACCGCTTGATCTGCTCGATGGCCTGCGGCAGCCGCGCGTCGTTCACGGCCAGGTTGTCCGGGTCGGCGACCCACTCGACGTCAGGGCCGAAGCGGATCCGCCCGGAGATGTCGAGCGTGAGGTGCGTGCCGAGGCCGCCGAGGCCGGGCTCGGGAGCCGGGTAGATGAGGTGCTTTGTCCGGGGGGAGGCGGCCGAGTAGGAGAAGTAGTTGCCCTTGGCGTAGTAGGGCGTCACGTGTCTGTCCGGCGGCAGGATCATGTTGTTGACGGCGCAGGCGCCCAGACCCGCGGAGTTCACCAGCACTTCCGCGCTGACGGTGCTCTCTTCCCCGGTGGCTGCATCTCTGGTGGTGATGGCCCAGCCGGCACTCCCTCTCTGGTCACCGACGGCCGCGATGCCCACCACGGGAGCCTGGTACGCCACGTCCCCGCCTCGGTCTTCGTAATCCGCAAGCAGGAACTGCATGTACGCATGGCTATCGACGATACCCGTCGTGGGCGATTCCAAGATGCCCACCTCGGCGCGGACGTCTGGCTCCAGCTTCGCCGCCGTCGAGAGCGCGACGAAGGATGTCGGGACGCCGACGGTGCACGAGAGCTTGTGCACCTTGACGAGCTCCTCCCACTGCTCGTCGGTCTGGGCCACGATCCACTTCCCCATGTTGCAGTGCGGGATGTCGTGTTTGGCGCAGAGGGAGTACAGCAAGTGGCGGCCACGGATGCACAGCTTGGTCTTGAGAGACGTGGCGCCGTAGTAGAGGCCTGCGTGGATGACCTGTTGTGAACATCTGGTTAGCTGAGATTGCGTATCCGAATAGAAAGAGGAGAGGGGCTGAGTGTTTGACTTCGGAGTTCCTGGAGCTAGTCTCCATCCCGACTGCTTTATTGCGTTCGATGAGCACCGTGCTGGTCCCCTCTCGAGCTGCTAACTGCCTGGCAATGGCCAGCCCGACCGCGCCTCCGCCTATTACCTGTCAATCTTATTGTCAGTATCATTCATTCCTTGATTCAACCATTCATCGTAATCATGGCTTTGGAGCATAGCCTTACAGCATGGGTGAAGTCAGCCTCTCGCTTTGCGGTTACTGCGAAACCTCTCCGCGACTTCTTCGCCAGTTGCCTTGGCACAGTCCTCGAAAACATCATCTGGGAGCGTAATCGAGCTGTTGGAAGGAAACGGCTGCAGGGCATTATATTCCGATTTTCTGATGTCGATCAGCAACCTCGGCTAATTTGGTGTTCGTGATTTGTCGCTTAACAAACTCTACGCAAGCGAACAACAGCCAAGACGGTTTGCGTTGAAATGCGAACGAAATAAGATACTGGTACATATATATCACTTTAGCTCCGGCCAGCTTCTACTTCGAGTTCTCTCGAGTGCCTCCGAGAGCTAGCCAGAGGTCTGGAAAACCCCCGACGAGGAGATCAAGATGCTATCTTGCCAACCCGCCTCTTCCTCCCATCGAGTCCTCCTCTTCTGGGCCGCTAATCCAGCAATACCAAAGCTCGTTTGATGCGTAAAGAGGGTCTGGGAGAAGACGGTTTCTAATATCTCATCTAATTCGTACAGCGAAGTTGTTTAGATGGCTGCTCTGCTTCTACTGCTGTGTCCGAATCCTCTAGTCCAGGTAAGTGACGATCACCATCATCCATTGCGACGACGATTCCGACGTAGCCGCGAGTTTTATCTCAAGCACTTATAAAGTTCACTTGTAACTTTCAATTTCTTCTTGGAGATTAGATGAACAAGGGCGTTGCAATATCGATTGAGCTCTCGTATAGTATCCATGATATATCTACGTGAAGGCACCTCCTCCTGGTAAGGAGTAGGAGGAGTCCGGCCGGCTGCCTACTTACTGAGGATTCCTTTGACAGCTTCTCGAGGCTGATACTCTACCGCTAGATTAATTATTGTACCAAAGAAGGTGTCGAAGAACAGAGGGGGGCGATACATATCCGTATACATATATATATATACTACTGCCGTACATTTCAAACCTCCACATTTCTCCAGCCCCTATCCCTCATCCCTCCTCTCCCAAGATTTTCTATCCTCTGCAGCAAGCAAGCAAGCAAGCAATTAGCCAGACTAAGACCTCTAGAAAGTATTCCAAAGGAACCAAACAAACGAGTCTCTCTTTCCATCTTACCGATATATATCTATATACATCTACATAACTATAACTACCACTCCCGACTTCTAAACCGCGCACCCAGAATCACTCACTCACTCACTCACTCACTCACTCAATTCCATTCCCTAGAGCCCCCCCAGTCCGAGCTATACTTATCACCATCACTTACCACTTACCACTTACTTAACCCCCCCCCCCCCCAAAAACCACATCAACAAGCTTTCAAGATCAGCGATTCCCAGATTCCCAAGACACAGAAGAGAATTTATATTTATATATACATTTTTGGCATGACGATACTTATCTTGCAGATTACGAGTCCCGTCTGCAAAACACTGCCCTGACGACATTTTTCTCGTCTCCAGCTTCGTAGGTGTTTAGAAGCGTAAAGAAATACACGACGAGACAAAAAGCACAGAGATAACAATTTGAGAAAAAAAAAAAAAAAAGGATGTAAAGGCGACAACTCTCTTTTACTTGGTGATACTCTGCACCCTCTAGTCCTCGCTACAGAGTTGGAGCGAGGAAGCAAGCAATGCTCAAGTTCTCCAACTTTGTGGGAGGTTTCGGAAAACTGGGCCACAGGAATTTGCTAGCTGGGCTCGGTTGAAACAGATTGGCATCTGACCTTGAAGTGCCAATCTGACATAGGCGGAGATCGAATAGGAATCACGCAAATCCAAGCTCATGAGAAGAAGGAGAATGCTCCAACCCGTTATCTGATTGAATCGACGCTATCGAATCAAACTCACACCCGTTCGAATGTCATTTCCTCCCATCCCATCCAGATAATCTATGTACCCCCCTACCAACTTCATCCCCCCTCACCCTCGCCCCAGTCACATCTTGAACCTAGTTATCCTCACCAACCAAATTCGTGCCCTCCCTCAACCCCTCAACAACAAGCTCGTGGCCTTCAGCCCGGCGGTAGATATCCTTGACGTCGTCGGTGGTGGTCTCGAAGTGGGATGTCGCGTCGTAGCTCTTGGAGATGAAAATGTTGTCGTTAGAGCCGCTCTCGAGTGGCTCGTAAAGAGGAATTGGTGGGCCCTGAAAAAAAAAAAGTTGGTTAGCATGACAGAAAAAAAAAAAGGGATAGAGCCGAGGGAGGTGTACCATAAACTTCTCCTCGATCTTGCCGAGACGCTCGAAACCGGGCGCGAGTTCGAGATGGTGGTTAGCGGATGTCTCGGCGATAGTCGAGACGATGGCGATGTAGTAGCCCTTAGGGCAGACGCTGTGGGCGCTAGACACGACGGCGATGTAGATATCTGGGCTTGTTAGCTAGAATCCCCAGGATTTTGAAGCTCCAACATACCATTCTTTCGTCCAACTTGCGATTGGGGAATGATCAACTGTGCGGAATCGCTGTTGTCAGTCCCAGCGAGCGGATGGTTCAAGATGCAGATGGCCTTGAGGACATGGCCGGTAACCTGGACCTTGCCAGGGAAGTACGACGGATCAGCGATGATCTTCTTTGCCTTAGTCTCGAACTTCATTGGTGCCTCTCCACCTCTGTCTTCCATGGTGGCCTTGATGCCCACCGCCTTGCTCCCATCGTAGATAACCTCATCGATGTTGGTATTCAGCATGTATGTTCCTCCGTAGATAGCGGAGAGGCGGGCAAAGCCCTGGGGCAGCTCGCCGAGACCGTAGAGAGGGTAGATATATGGCGACTTTCCGTATCTGGAGACGGAGTTTCCGTACAGGCGGATACGCTCGATGGCCTCGGGGGCTTGGCCTGGGTTGGTGAGGTAGGCGTCGGTTTGATAGAGGGCCATGGCGTGGCCGATGAAGTCCCGAGTGCCGGTCTCGAGGCCAAACTTGTCGTAGACATCCTTCATTGTGCATGTGTTAATGTTGAGGCCTGCTTCTGTCAGCATAAGCTTCCGTATGATGGAGTGTGCTCCTACCTTTGTGGCTAGCAGAATCTTCAGCGCTGAAGGTTCCAATCCATTCAATGAAGCTCTTCATCCGTCTCTTCTCGAAAATGCCCATCAAGGAGGACCGGAGAGCTTCACCCGCGTCTGAAGGTACCTTTGCAACGGCAGCTTTCGTACCAGCACCCTGCTGCACATAGCTTCCTGCCACCTGTCTGAACTCGAGGTATCTGGTAACGTCGGTGGACACAAGGATATTGGTCAACTCCCCACTGGACATGAGAAGCTTGGGAACCAAGTCGATATTCCAGTCGTTCACCCGTCCGTACTTCTTCCATGGCTCCTCGCCCTGGTTGTAGTTTCCGTATTTCTTGAAGAGCTGGCAGATGTCAGTGCAGACTCGCAGATGGAGACATGGAACTTACCGTCTCGATGTTGACCGAGGCTGCTTCTCTGCTTTCTGTCAGTCATGTCGCAAGATATGGCCGGGCTTCGAGCATACCCTCCATAGTGATCGTTGCGGTCAATGTGCAACACCTTCTTGCCCTTGACACTGAGCACTCTATCCAGCTTGTCAGTTTGACCATGTCTTCACCTTGTGCGGATAGCAGCATACCCAGAGAGCACGCATTCAGTCAGACCTGTGTCCGTATATTAGCTTTCGTCCATGGCTCTGATATGCCCCTCTATGCGGGGTCGCATGGAGTCCTACCTGTTCCCAGAACAACGACATCGTACTCGGGGGCAATCTCATCCATGGTGATAGGTGGAGGGCGTGTATGTAAAATAAAAGGTCCTGAAGAGGGCTTTCCTGCGGTTCCGAAGCTGCAAGTGTTGGGTGAGGGTAGGTAGGTACAAGATGCGGGTGGTCTCTCTTGTCGGTCGTTGACCATGGGTCCATTCCTTGGTCTCGCCTATTATAAGCTGCCCCCCGTCTTGAAAAGGTTACCGCTTATATCCGTTGTCTCAGATCACCGACGATGATATGCTATTCAATCAATGAATGCCATATGGATTTTTGGGCTGAGTTTAGGCCTGGCTCGAATTTACTCGTAAGATCTTTCTTGTGCTACAAGTTGATTACATCTATCTGTCTACAGTTGGCTCTGCAACTGCTCATCCCGAACGCAACCACAAACTCATACACCTTGAGGTGTGGGTATCCACTGTTGTACAATTCCTGTCCAGACCTATGCGTTGGGTGAAGGGGTAGTCTTCTGTTCTAGCTTCACTTCCTCACGAGGATGATCCGGCTTGAAGTCCGGCTCGATAGTCTGCTCGGGCTCTCGCTCCTCCATAAGTTCGGCATCCTCTCCAGGCGATTCAAGCGCCTCATAGTCCTGCTCGTATTCCATGGGCGTGTATAATGGCCCGGATCCCGAGAGATCAATCTCAGGGTCCTGTTGTGCAATGATCTCCGCCTCTCTCCATGAGTAGTACCTCTCGGTCAACACCTGCTTGATAGCCCTCTGTGTCCACCTCACCTATGTCCAATTAGCCCCCATCCGGACACCCGCTCCCGACGGCAAGTACTCACACACTTGTCCCTTGCCTCACTCTCCGATTGTCCATATCCAGCCTCCAACCTAGCCCGCTCACGCTTCTCCGTCGCAATGACATTCCGCTCCTTCGCACAAATCCACCACAACGCATGTAGGTCCTCCCAGCTCTTTCCCCTCAGCTCCTCGGGACACCAAGCTCTGCCATGCGCAGATTCTTCCTCGGGCGTGTTCATTGGCTTCTCCTTGCTGTGGAAGAACTGCCACAGTCCGTGGTCGGGATCCACCTCGACCTTGCTGCGCTTCTTGGAATCGAGGACTGGCTTCGGGAGCTCGGTTTTAGACACGGAGAGAGGCTGGCGGAGACCAGATCTGCGGGTGGAGGAGACGCCACGGTTGCGATTCATGTCCCGTGGGTAGAGAGTTGAGGGCGTGCTGGAGAAAGAGGACGCTTGCTGGACAGGGGCGATGAGAGAGGGGAGGAGAAAGACCGGGAGGGTTTGGTGGGATCTGTTGGATTTCAGGACCCCTCTCATGATGGGCCGTAGGACGGAGGTCGTGGACATCGTGGTGGTTGCCGACAATTGCGGTTGTCGACAGTATTGTCTGCAGGTATCAAAATATCTTTTTGGATGCAATTGCTACGGCGGGTCGAGGAGTGCCACGTGCGCATAATTGTATACCAGATGAAGTCGAATCAATTAGCCCTTTGCTTCGATACTCAACTTAATCATTGATACTATTCACAAATACGATACAATACTTCTTAGAATTTCTGACTTCCTGTACTTAGCTTCGCATCTTCACATGTGCCTAGGACGATGCGTCAAAACATCTCAAGTGAATAAATATTACGTCGCAGTCTATCGTTACACAAAAGTACTAAGCAAATGGTATCGGAAGTCAGTGGTTGGGCCGTAGGCATGAGGTGCATAGTGATATGTACGGAGTAGATCTGAACGCCACGCCACTCGATAGATATCCCAACGAGAGAAAGAGGACAGCGACTTTCTTACAGTACTGTTTTGTACAATATTACGGAGCACGGGCACAGAGCAAGACCTGTTAGGCCAGGCTAGATTGAGGATTCAGGGCCAGGGCTTTAATCAGGACCCTCCACTACAAGACGAACCTAGAAGCCCGCTGTGCTGCCCCAAACATAAGTAAGAAGGAAAATGCTGGCTCTCACAACCAAATCGTATTACTCTCGCATTCGCGTTACGAGCACGGGAAAACCTCCCGGTCGATTGTACATTCTAAGATAGGAAAGCCGTGCTCAGAGATAGTCCTGATCGAGAACGAAATTCGAAACCGTGCTGGAAGCTAGCGTATTGCGTGATTGAAATGAATAGGTAGCTGAGCGTGATTTTCAAGGATCCTAGCGTTGCGCGTAACCACTCTGAAACCGATCTGAGATAGAGTATCTTTGAACGTAGCTGATTAGTGTTTTAGAACAAGGCCAAGGAGTAAAAGAGAGGAAAACAATGAGCGCGAAGAGGTGGGAACTACCTAACTGCGTTGCCGTTTTGAGAGAGAAAAAGGAGAGAGAGAGAATCTTATATGTTTGTTTACGCTCAGACCTCCTCTAAGGGAAAATGGTCAACTTCCTCTTCACGTTTCGACTACCGGTAGAAGTTTCATATGACTTGGCCTAGCTGAACGACTTCACCAATCTGCCCCCGAACCGTAAGTCCAAATGGAATGTTCAAAGGTCTCCTCGGAAATCTCAAGAATCTGTATTCTGTGTTCGACCATGGGACGTCAGAAGAGATGCATAGGTTGTAATCAGCGCCTTTTGCTTAAGCGAGTTTCCTTGTGTTTCCTTGTGTCTGGCAAAAGGCTTTTTGACTTCACTTGCCAGATAGCGGTCAGAAAAGATAGGCAGTCCATCGAAGCCAGAACCTTCCGATCTTTCTCGCGCCGAAAGTTGCACGCCAGTAAAATAGTCGGCCGAATATTGATCTGTCCTGGAAGTGGGAACATCGGAAGAAGTCAGCCCATACATGCCGTCTTCTCAGGCTATTATCGAACTTAGCATATCAGGCCAAAAGAATGCAGTATCAAAACCATAACACCATGGCTTACATGTCTCTCTGACAACTCTTGGGGCCTCGACTCACTATCCATTTCGAATCCTATCTCAACCATCAGACAACATGCAACATGCAATATGAGTTGTCCTTACCCCTAGTAATTGAACTTTTCCTTCATCGATAGATAGTCTTCCTATACAGTATCCGTACATGATGATTCAAGGCAAAGTCTATCCAATTGTCCTCTGCCGGTACTTCACCGCTCGTACTACCGTACCTTGGTAACATGCTACCCGTCGTATCGCACGCATAAGAAGGAAGCGCTTTATAACGACATCCGAGCTGATGAAAAAGTCTGCGGAAGTTTCGGGCTGGCCCTTACTTTGCCGACTGCATGAGATTGAATTGAGGAACGTCTCCGGTTGCACGTATCTCCCTGATATGCAGCTCTCTGGTTCGTACTACTCCGTACCATGAGCGTCTGCAGAGCCAGCCACATGGGAATGTTTGATAGCGGGCACTGATTCATAGATAAGAGGTGTGTCTCGATCAACCTCACCGCCTTTGGGGCTGCCGCTTGCAGATATCCGGTAGACGCGTGCCCATGCCCGTGACCGTGGCCGTGGCCGTGGCCGTGGCCGTGGCCGTGGCCGTGCCCATGCCCATGCCTGTGCCTGTGCCTGTGCTGCTTATCAGATGCATATGTTCCGGACCGTACTGTACTGTACCGGTACGGTACATGCAAGCGATTGCAGCGGTCGGTATGATCCTTGCATCGATCAAAATGCTCGAGAAAGTTGCCGCTGGACGGCGCAAGCAAAACCATGATCTATTGGTTAAGTTGACATTAAATCAGTTCCCTGGACTTCCTTCCTTAAGCCCCGAGAAGTCTGAGAGTCTGACTCGTACTGGACCCCTTTTTCATCACGTGATGTAACAGGATGATCTACCGGTACCTGCTGGTATTGCCTGTCCTTGAAGATTGAAAATGCTGAGCTGGGCGAATTTAGATTTGGCCCATTCTGAGTTGTGGGTACAAGTAATTGTAGGGAGTAGTACTACTGTACAACTACTACTAGGTAGTTGTCGTACGGAGCTAGTACTGTACCATGGAAGCACCATCGCAGCCTTCTTCCGGCCAATGACGGCGCGTGGGCCCGAATTCCCGTTTCGCGTCGAGCTGCAGCCACCCAGTGCAGCAGCAGTGCCCATCTCGGAATTTCCGCAAGCAGACAGTTTTAACCCCAGCTAAACACGTGAATGATGCCTGCATAGGTCGAGGTCGAGGTCGAGGTCAGCGTCTGAGTCTAGGTCTAGGTCTAGGTCTAGGTCTAGGTCTACGTCTACGTCTATGTCTACGTCTACCTCTACGTCTACGTATAAGTAGAGTCAAGAGAAAAGAGGCTACTCTAGCTCATTAATGCTGGCAATCCAAGAATTTTGGGTTCCGAGAGAGTTTTCGCTAAGTACTCCCGTCCTTACTACTAGTACCTGCAGGAACCAGCGAGTCGAAGAGACCCACAATTACCACTCCCTCTATCTCTACCGGTACCTCTACCGCTGCTTCTGCCTCTACCGCCACCTTCACCACCACCACCACCACTCCCCGCGCTCATATACCTGCACATCCCCTCCAAACACCGACCGCCCTTCCTGACCATCGCACTTCACTTCCGGACCCTCGACTATCACTTGCTCTCTTGTGGTCCTTACAGTCTTTCAAATTCTGCTCTCCGTCCTTCGTGTTCTGTAGACTCTACTTTCTTGCCTCTTTTTCTTCGACCTCTAGGAGAGGAAAGAGAAAAGGAAAAGAAGAGAGAGTCCATCTGAACCGAAGCCATTCTTCTTCCCACCACTTCTCTATCAAATAGAGGTTCGCTCTTCTATTTGGACGCCGTAAGACTATAGCCAGATCGAAAGCAATGACTCTAACCAGACAGAGATCGAGTCGAGATCCCGACAAGTTTCCCACCGCACAACTCTTTCTCCTGGGTACGTCCTTTCCTCTGGTAGAACAATTAGAACGGCCACCACGTTACGCTACATCCCATGCCTGTTTACAACGGTTCACAACTGACCCAAGATTCCTATGTAGCTATTGTACGACTCGCGGAGCCAATCGCCCTCACCTCCATCTTCCCTTATGCCTGGCCACTTGTCAAGAGGTTCCACGTCGGCGACGAAAGCGATGCCTCTTTCTATGCCGGTCTCCTCATTTCAGCCTTCGCGCTCGCGGAGTCCATGACGGGCATGTTCTGGGGGAGCCTCAGTGATTCTGTGGGACGAAAGCCGGTATTACTGGCAGGATGCACAGGAACCATGCTGAGTATGATCATGGTGGGCTTTTCAAAAAACATCTGGATGGCTGTGGCAGGACGAGCACTAGGGGGCTTTCTCAATGGCAACATTGGGGTCATTCAAACGATGGTCGCGGAGCTGGTAAGCAAGCCAGAGCATGAGCCTAGGGCGTACTGCATCATGCCTTTTGTCTGGACCATCGGGACAATCATTGGGCCTGCGCTCGGTGGAACATTCGCAGACCCTGCAATCGGATTTCCAAACACTTTCTCCAAGGACGGGCTCTTCGGCCGATATCCATACCTGCTCCCAAACCTGTTGTGCTCCAGCTTGCTGCTTGTAAGCATGCTGGCGGGCTACTTCCTCCTCGAAGAGACACATCCGGATAAGCAACCCAGGGTGAACTTGCCAGATGAAACCTACGTGTCCGATGAGACCCCTCTAATCGGAACTGCGGATGCAATTAAAGCTCCCCCGGTCGATCTACGAGCAGAGACATACGGTACATTTGAAGGTAGTGACGATAGCCAATGGCGCCATGCCTCTAAAAAGAGCCGCGGAAGCCCCAAGATATTCACAAGTCAAGTTTTGGCCCTCATCGTTGCTCTTGGAATTTTTACCTTCCATAGCATGACCTACGATCACCTCCTACCCATCTTCCTGGAAGATGAACGTGGCTCCATGACCATCCGCGCCTTCTCCAACAACCCATCCTTCAACCCGTTCTACGTGCCCGGTGGTCTCGGTCTCTCGATCCAAAAGGTCGGGTTCATCATGTCCATGAACGGAATCATCGCCATCATCGTGCAGGCTGTCGTCTTCCCGCTCGCAGCAGCCGCATGCGGCATCCACAGACTCTTCATCATGGTCTCATTGTTACACCCAATCTCGTACCTCGCCATGCCTTACCTCACCTACCTGCCAGCGAAGTACCTGATGTTTGGCATCTACACCTGTCTCACGATCCGCAACATCCCGTCTATTCTTGCCTACCCGGTCCTTTTGATTCTCATCAAGCAAGCCACGCCTTCGCCATGTGTGCTAGGAAAAGTTAACGGTCTTGCTGCTTCTGCAGGAGCTGCGTGTAGGACCATCGCTCCGCCACTTGCAGGCTATCTATATACGTTGGGCTCGAGGATGGAGTTCACGGGCTTGGCATGGTATGGGAGTGCTTTTATGGCACTACTCGGAGCCCTGCAATGCTTCACCGTGAGGCGAACCAGGCGAGATGCGGAAGATGACTAGGCTCCTAGGTCCTGGTTACCTGTTACTGAGCCGGGGAACGGACTTTGAGGCCTGGATACATTCAGTCCGATGGATGATAGGTCCGAATTGCGTGTATAGAACGGCGTTGGAGGATTTTTTGTCAGATTAGCGGGCGTCTAGGTCTAGATTGCAGGGGGAGTTTAGGGGTCTACCCTGTTTGCGTGTGCATGTCTATCCGGGCCTGGCAATACTGGAAAAAAGTGCATTTTATGGCAAGACGAAAGCGACAGCGGCGTCTTTCTGGCGAGATAGATTTTGGTAAGAGGGAAACTCGGAGAGTATATTTTCATACATGGAAGTAGAAAGTGAAATGTCAATCAAACTTCAGCCTCCGCTTTACTTGGTTGATCTGATAGTGTATCTTTGGTTTCATGATTGGTATTGCTATCCTTTCTGTTTCTGTTTCTGTTTCTATTTCTATCTCTGCCTCTGGCTTGTACGAATGGCTCAGCTCCAGTCACTTGTCCACTCCAATCACCGTCGAGTAAGTACCTTTTGCTACCGTCCAACCCTGTACAGTCAATCTCAAGCTCAGATTACCAATTCTGTACATCAAAAGCCGACCTGCAAGTTGTGTACACTGGATACGTTTCCAGTACTCATCACAACCCAATCTAACCGCTCGACAACCACTACGAGCAATTGCTACCAAGTAAGCAAGTAAGCAAGTAAGTAACCTACCTGACTTGCATGCCAGCAAGTCAGAGCAAGAACCCACCCAACCCCACTCCGATAGAGACTAGCTCAGGTACCATCTGTGCCAGGCCATGCAGAGTCATCGCAGCGTGAGGTGTTGGAACTTGTCGCTACTTGATACGTTATGTTGACGGGAGTTGGGTTGGGTATCTTCTATCTTCACTTGTTTGACAGTATCGACTTCTTTGAGGTTATAGAGTATGGTGTTTGGTGATGAGGGAATGACGCTTAGCTTGATCTGCAGCTTCTTTTTTCCTTGGTGCGTAAAGTGTGTGGAGCAGCATTGAAAGTTGGAAGTTGAAAGTTGAGGGACGCTCGACTCTATCACTTGGACCATACTCACTACTTTGAATCCCCTCCCGAGAAGCATGACTCGGGTTTGAATCACTGGGGGTCTCTCAGAAGGATCTTGACGAGGAAGAATATTCGACGGAGGAATAGTCATCGTTGATCACACGAGGTCGTGCGCCTGTTGGGCCTTTCTCATAACTCATTTGATCATTCGCGTGTTCATCTACCTACCTGTGCTTTCAAGGCGAGCATACCCGGCTATAAAGCCTGCAACTTTCCGATCTACGCAACCGTCTTTCTCATCAAGACGCGATCGAGGAACCAGTCTTTGTTTCCAGAATCAGTCCACTTGATGTCGCCTCTCATGAGCTTCCAGGCTTTGTACCCACGTCTCTCATACCAGTCTTGGTTCGACATCTAGAACCACAGGTAAGCCTCGTACATCTCCAGCCCATGATCGCCCCCTTCCCCTCATCATGAGTTTCGCGGCCAGCAGATAAGAATTTCTAAACGCACCTTCGGCTCCGGGAGCCCCATCTCCTCAAAGGTCTCCTTACTCATGCTCGAGTTCGACAGCGTATCCAAAGTCAAGACCTTCGCATGCAGCGGCTCCTTCACTGCCTCCCTCTCGACCCGGTCCATGGCCGCACGACCAAGCCCACTGCCTTGCAGCGCCGCAGAGATGTAGAAGGAGGTGATGCAGTAGGTCCCCCTCGACGCATCGGCCTGCTCCTCAAACGCACATTCCGAGTCCAGGGAGATGTGACCGATGGGGATAAAAGCAGCGGACGTGGGCGCGCGCGGCTTGCTACCGAGGGCGAGTGCCGTGTCGAGGATGGGCGTGCTCTCCATGGGGTATCTGAGCGTGTGCCGAGAGAGTTTTGCTGCGTCGTCGTCGTCGGATAAGACCTACACATATACACATGTGCCCATGCATGTCAGACCAGACCACATCACATCTACGTATTCCACACCACACGGCCTAGGCTGGGAGAGTATCTCAATCTCAGATGCACGTTAGACTGCTGCCACGGGGGCCCGGGGGGGCGAAAGGAAACATTCGCCACCGAGGCAACTCACCACCCACTGGATCGCCATCTTGCCCTGCCTCTGCAGATGCCTCCAGCTCTCGACGCAGTCCGATTTCCACCCGCAAGCGACACGCTGCTGGAACAAGCGCCCGACGTGGGCCGGGGACTCTGGATCCCAGGCAATCAAGCTGACCGTCGATGACGGCATTTTGTTCTTCTATTTTTGCTTCTTGGGTCGACTTGGGCAGCGCAAAGTACAACAAAGCAAAACAAAGCAAAAGAAGAAGAAGAAGAAGAAGAAGAAGAAGAAGGACGATAATTAGAGGTGCAGCAACAATGACGATGAATTGAGCGAGGGGAGTGAGGGCGGCTCTCTCTCTCTCTCTCTCTCTCTCTCTCTCTCTATATATATGGGTTTTTTTTGGGCTGCAGTTAATCAGTTGTATTACCTACCTACATATAGTCCAAGTGAGTGAGCCGCGCCGATGAGTCAAAACGGGATAGATGCTCAAGTTAACCAACCAATCAACCACTGACGATCATGTACCCAAGTCCCCGCCCGGGACACCCGCTTGAGATACAGCTTCGTCTTCCGCGGACATGGAAGATGCGAAGGTTGCGATCGAGAAAAAAAAAAAAAGATCGGCGGAATCCGTCGCGGGAACCATCACCATACTGAAAAGATGGCATTTCGGGCTAGGGAAGTCCTCTGGTCGCGCGTGCTTGGCAGACGCAGCCGCTAAGCGAGAAAATGGGTGAAGGGGGGAAAGGGGGAGGAATGCTTGAAACACTTCATTCAACACGCCCGCGAGATGTGCGGGTAGTCTGTAGTGCGGAACGAATGCTTGACAGTTGGGGACAGACGTTGATCAATCTACAGGTCGCGATGCAGAGAAGTGTGCCAGAATGAATGACTGACGTGAATATACATTACGTGCTATATGCTCAGATCCACCGACGCCGAGAGGGAGCAAAGCGATAGGCCCGACCAGGGAGAGACGATGGCACCGACATCCAAATCCAAATCAAATCAAAACATCCCATCCCAGGCTTCACTCACACCGCGCTCGAAAAAAGACTGTAAGACTGGCCCTTATTTCGAGCCGCTAGGATCATCAGCTTTCGCGTCTCGCTCAGCTAGCTCTTCAACCATCATCAGCATCACGTAAGCACCGGGACCACCCAATTTCACTTACCAATGGCTATGGGGGGCACGAAAAGCTCAGGGTACTGGGTCGGATTGGTCTCCCTCAGGTGGCCAGCGAGGTCCCATAATCTCTTCGTCACGAACTCCAGCTTGCCACCTCCGCCCACCTCATAGCTTGGATAGATCAACTGCCTTAGCTGTTCGCTTCGTAGCGTGTTGGGATTAGGGAAGGTCGCCTTCCACCATTTGTCATACCATTTCGGTAGTTTCTGCAGGTAGGAGGGCAGTCAGCGGAAAGGGACAAGAGGTTTAAAGATACCTTGGAGCCACAGATGTCAGAGCGGACGTAGAGAGCATCCTACTTACAGTGATTGGGAACCTGAAGTGCTGACCAAAAGCGATGGCATACCAGACATCCTCGATGGGGATGTGGTACAGGTCGGGCGTGACGGTGTTGTGGAGGATGCGCAGCCAAAGTCTGATGCTAGTGACTGTATACCCTTTGATATCCTCGGCAGTTACCTGAGAAGATATGAACCTCGTGTTGAATTCTTCGGGAGCATATTCGCGCATGACTTTCTGAGAGATTGCGAAGGTCGCTGTTTGGAGAATCGGCTGCTCAAGTGAAGGGCGTTGCGCGGTGAAGTCTTGCTCGGTGACGTGGATGATACCATCGTGCGTTTGGCCTTTGGGCAAAACATTGTCCCAGCAGTGAGGCTGCGAAGATTAGTCCGAAGTGGATGCTTTAGCTGAGAAACATTTGCTTACGAACGGCAGTGCAGGTGTGGACATGGTCTGCAGAGATGAAGTATCTCAGTAGGCTGACGTGACTAAGGAGATCGGGTTGGGTACTGTGACAAAAAGATTCTGGCTCGAGACCGGAGGTGATTTGTTGTTGAGTGTAGACTAAAGAGAAATTGCAAGGTTGCAAGGTTGCAATGTTGAAAGGTTGAAAGGTTGAAAGGTTGAAAGGTTGAAAGGTTGAAAGGGGATCTCGGCCTTCTGCAAGTAAGGGCAGCTCAAAAAGTCATATCGCTTAGCTTGGCAGCCTGCTCTTGCCTTTTCTGGAACCTCGGATTGCAAATGAAAATCCGGATTCACCTCGCCGGAAAATCGGGACAATCCGGCACCAGCGTAACAGCACGTTGAAAAATCTCCTTCTGCCGCGGCTTGAACTTTGAGTCGTGACAAGACAAAGCGATGAGAAGGAAGGATTCAAACGGAAAGAACGTCTTCACGACCAATCTACCTGCGAGTCGCAGTTTGTCTGGCCGAGGCGTACAGATAGAGTGTGCGTGCCGGTATCTATCTGATGGAGCATTGAAGTCGGCAGAAAGAAGGCGAGAGAAATTAAACGAAGCAAACGCTTGTTGGCCCCTGAGCTAGTCCTAGTTCGGCATCGGCTTGGCATCATCTATTAGCTCCCTCATGAACTCACAAAGTCACCACGCCTTACGCCCCAAGGGCGAGACGAATAGAAGTTACGACGATTGAGTGAACAAAGGACCCCTACGAGTAGCACTTATCCAAGCTCTTCTTTTATCTGGTGATGCCTCCACCTTCAATCATCGTGTGGACATGCTTGGGGTTAAGATATAACTTGGTAGGAATTATCAGGCTGCCAGAGCCACGCAGGTTTTGCGCGTAGCAAGAAGCATAGGCTACAATGCCCATAAAAGGGCGTATTATTCTTCCCATCAACTTTTCGTTGAGTCTGCCTTTCATGCTGCGTTTGAAATCGTTGTTGATCTGGTCTAAATCTAGTATCATTTGGAGATCACAGTAGCCAGCATTCTTTCAAACCTACTCATCATCTGGAGGGGGACATGAAGCCCGCGATGACGTGTTGGATGGAGCTCTGTTATTTGTATATTTAGTGTGATTGGAGGCCTGGTGTGATTGTTCGAAAAACTCCTAGTGACCTGGGCCCGCGGCTCGTAAAGATCGAACTTGCGGCTTAAAGACACAAGCGACCCTCAAATCATGCAGATCTACCTCATAGGTATTGACCATGCCGCACTGGTTTGCGCTTTTTCTGCCATCTGTCGGCTTCCCCCAGTTAAGAAGGGTGGAGAGCACTGTCGTAGTTAAGCGCCATGTTTAGCTTGGAGTTGAAGCACTGGCGATGGAACTATGAAGAAGGAAATAAGGGCAGAGACTTTCATATGACAGGAATCAAGATGGGACCGAGGTTCTCGTGAGAAGCAAGTGTATAGCGTTTTTGAGCAAGGTGTCAGGATGCCAAGGATTTAGGCGCTTCAATCACCTTGACTCTCATAAATTGCGGCATGTCTCTTATGATATATTCCAACGGTGAGATTTTCGTATAACAAGAATAAAAGGAAATATCCGATCAGAAGTTGAGAGCTATTCAAGAATCGTGAACGACTAAATCACAAGAAAGAGGTGCAAAACCTCCATCTGCCAACAGCCAGGCCCGTGTAAAAATCAGGAACTCGACACCCATAAGCAAAACCATTCAATCATACACTCCCAAATATTATAGCTGGCTAGAAGATCTACCCCACACTCGCCAAGTCTGTCCCTTTTCGCCTAAATTCCCCAGTCTCGCTTACCCAACCACAATCAAAACAAGTCCCCTCACGTCGGGTTCACCCTCGCATACAGGTCCACCATATGACTGCCCACCTGTTTCCCCGGCGCTGCACCAGCGTCTGTCAAGACTGGCCATCCGTGCTCATCAAGTATTGTTCCAGGCGGGAGTTCTGCCTTCAGATCGTCCCGCTTCTTCTTCACCCACTCATTTGGCTTGACAGCTCTCAGAGCCTGATCCTCTTTCGCGGTCTGCCGCTCTTCCCAATCAGCAAGGTTGTCTAGCATCTCCTGCGCGCTTTCGCTGCGCAAATCGCGGAGGTGTGGACGCAGGGAGTCGTGACCTCCGCCTGGACGCATGACATTGGCGAGCTCCGCGGCGGCGCTTTGGATCTGCTGAAACCGTTCCATGAGGGTTGGACGAGCTCCGCAGAAGGCAATCTCGTAAATGCGTTGGATTTCTGCGGGGATCCGGGGCGGGCCAGGTGTAGTCGCGTCTTGGATGGCGGGGTTTATGTTGCCGGCCGCATTGGAAGTTGCATTTTCTCCCACGTCTCCTTGGCCATAGTTGTATCTTGACTTGTCGTTGGGATTGGCTAGTTTGAGTTGAGCTATCTCCAGCATCTTGTCCTCCACCGTCACTTTCTCCAGAAGCTTGTTGTCTCTCAGATTGAGCCTGGAGTCAGAGAAAGGGTTTCTCCAGATGACCTCACCGTCGTACTTTGAAACAGTCCACTCTGGTATGCGTGATTCTGCCACAGAGTCATCCAATGGGTTTTTTTTGATCTGCGCCTGCAGTGCGGGACGAGCGATGGCAGGCCACCCAGAATCCTCTATGGCTCCAATATTATCCAGTAATCTATCCCAAAAGCCCTGAGAAAGTACCCTCTCGATATATGCTGTGGAGATCGAGTAATCGCTACGGTAGAGCACGTCGATTTCCTGCTCTTTGAAGACTTTCTGCCAACAAAGAGCGCTGGAGAAGTTAGTAGGAACTTGTCCGTCGACTGTGGACGGACTGTAGCCGCCAAAGATGTATGCGATGAACGAGAGTCCCAGTTCCGAAACACAATCATCGTTATAGCGTGGCTCAGGTCCCGAGGCGCTGTAATCTAAAGATCGAAAATCTTGCTGCAATGTTGTTAACATCTCACAATTTGGGGGACGCGCCAGGAGATACTCACATGCCAGACTACATGTGCAACTTCATGTGTCATGGTAACAGCAGCAAGAAAGCTTGCCCGCAGATGCTCCTCGGTGCCAGGTCTGAACGTTGTCAGGGCATCCACATACTCCTTCATGATCCCAACGATCAGAGGTCGGCGTTGAGATCCCCGGGCTCGAAGATCCTGATCGGACTCTGCTATATCTTGGTCAACCAAGTCAGTCCATGGTCTAGGGCCCCAGCGGTCGTCGGTGACTAGTCTGGTGACCCCGGTCCATTTCTTGTCTCTCGCCATGGTCTCATTGAGTTGCCATCTGACAGACTCGGCCACCTCCGCTAGCTCCCCTCTCGTCTCCTGGAGCTGATCGTTTTCATATCGCTTTTGGACGACCCTGTAATATGTAGGATCCTCTGCACGTTTCTCTAGCAGCTGGTCATGTGCTCTGTTTGAAGGCGCAAAGCTGGCAAGGAAATCGAAACCAGAGTTAAGCAGATTTGACGCAAGCTGCATGCTTGGTAAGAGTGCCTTGTAATCTCCATCGCTGATATCCCAATGCTCCCGCTTGAAGAAAGGACTTAGATTGTATTTAAAGGTAGAGCTGCTTGGATTACCGATGGCCAAACTAGGAGGTTTAACGTGCCGAACATCTATGCACATACATGTTAGTTGGTAGGTACGACTTTTGCGGAGTCGAGTTCGAGAATGTTCATACCTCGAGCACCAGCAACCTGCAGCTCCAGGTTATCCCACAATTTTGCCGTTTCCGAAGCCATCGTTGGCGCTATTTTGACAGAGGATATTGTGTTTGGTGTTAGCGGAAATGTTCCTCTATTGTGAGATGAGAGGGATTTCCCTCTTGCATTCCACAGAGGAGGCCATTGGTAAGTGAACAAGCATCGGAATGCAGGATCGCTAGATTGGGAACATTCCACATTCCTATCCAGATCATGGCGCACACGTGATACACTGACGTCGGAGAGATCAGCATCTAAAATTCAGATAAGCATTTGCAAAAGCTTCAGCGAGCATGGGCATAATAAGACACCTCGGTAAGTAAACAACGTCCTTTCCTATATATGTACTCCGGATATAAGCAAGTCCAATTTTATATGTATCTTGATTCATCCATCTACGATATATCCTTAGCGTCTCAATCACGTCCTGACGACTTTGGATAAAATCCATCCATGGTTGCATAAAGTTGCATAATTCGGGCTATACACACCCCTCGGCTCGGATGGAGTTGGAACGATTGCCTTGTGCTGTCCTGTCCTGCCCTGCCCTGAAATTATAAAATCTTTCATTAAAACGTAAAAAGCGCTTCGAACTTACGGAAAAACACGCGGCTATACGAACGTAAACGTATTTAAATTATTTAAATCATCGAGAATCAACGATAAAGGATCAAAGAGAAATCGTTTAAATTAAATAAGTGTTCATCGAGCGAGGTCGAAACCCCTCCCCCCCGAATAAGTTTCTCGCACGCTCGGAGAGAAATAATCTCGTCGAATGGTTTGAATATATAACGCGAAAAAACAAAAAAAAAAATTACAAGTGATAATCTAAGAGGCCTTTGGAAACCGCGAGAGATCGAATTTCTATATTACAAATAAAGATTTCAAGCCGAACCTACATAAGTATTCAGCATAATCTCATTTCGAAGTCTTTTGTCCGGAGCAGAACCCACCCGGGAGTCGGAAGTAATCAGAGGCTCTGCGGCGTCGGCTCCATCACGTATTTTATAATAAGTGTCAGGAGCAGAACCCACTCGGAGGGAGTCGGAGGCTCTGCCGGGCTCGGCTCGGCTACGTATCTTATACAAGCCACATCTCTTTAAAAAAGAGATTCCTAGAAGTTCAAGAGTTGAACAGGCTAAAAAATCAATCTAGATACTAACGGAGCTTTATACGTAGGAACTTCGAATCACGATTCTTTATCACTAAGGGTCAACACTTCGAAAAAGAAAAAGCCGGTATTCATTAATCCCATCTACGGAGAAATACTCTATAAAAACACATCAGCTTGAACCTGGTTGTTTAAAAGACCTAGATACAAAAGATAAAGCTGAAGTCGCGTCTTTTTTTAAGCAAAAAAAAAAAAAAAACTTCTTTTAAATTTGAAGCGAAAGTTAACCTTTTATATTTGCTTTAATTAACTATGAAATAATGAATATAGACCAGAACCGTCTTATCAATATAAGCTATCTCTTATTGTTAGAAGCGCTATAATATTAATCTGCCTTTCGAAGCCCATAATGATAGGAAGTTGAAGCTATCAGATGTAAAAAGTTCTGGTGCGAAGTAAAAGTCGACGCATTAGCACCCTAGAGGGTGACTATATCTCGTGACATGGTTTCAATCATTTGACACAATTAAGAACAGGAAGCGATCAAGGTCCAGAATCAAAACCCGTCTATTGAAAAGATTGCATCATGTCCTTATTCGCTAGCCACCATACCGAGACGGAAAGAGCGACCGACGACCGACCGACTCACCACCAAAACCCCGCCCGCTCGCATACCCTCATCCCAGGTATCTTTAGATTCAGCCTACGGTATCAAAGATACCATCGAGGTGTCTCAGCTCACGCCTTGCTTACTTACTGTCTCACTTCCCATTCGTGAATAGACCAGGTAGCTACTGCCACCAGCAGCAGCAGCACTTTTCCATCCATCCATCCATCCATCCATCCATCCATCCATCCATACTACCTATATCATGGTATACCTCTCTAAATCATCACATCAGCCTTTATCGTACTTCCAAAAAAAAAAAAACCTTCAAACTTCAAACTAGTAGACAAAGCCAGCCAGACCGAACTGACATTCGCCCAGTTTTCCATACCTACCTAATCGCACACTCAACATACCTACCTGAAGCAACGCTTACGTATCGCAGCGTAAGCAAGCCGAGAGAATCCGAGCGAGGTCGATGATATAAAGTACGAAGAACTTTGAAACATGAAAATGAAAAAAAAATGAAAAAAAAAAAAAAAAAAATTAGAAAGGGAAGAAAAAAAAGCAATATTCTTCCGTTAAAAAACGAAAGGGATGAGAGGGGTTTCGCAGCCTAGCTAACTCATTCAGTTGGTTATTTTAAAAACAAGGTCATATCCATAGCCACGTATTTAGCAAGTTGGACGGTTTCAAGAGTTAATAATTACTGATTGGCCGATCTGCGTATTTATAACGAGATTTAATCTCGAGCTCTGGATACTTTGTTCATCTTGGTTTGCGTATCGTTCAAAGCTAATTCCGTGCATTAGCCTTTGGACTGATGTGAAAGTATAGGCCATATTTTGCATTTTGATCATAATATAACTTTGATAGTTAGGCATTGGTCTTATCAGACCGCGCCCTATCTCTCATCTTATTTCAAGCTATCTGCTCTGCTTTTGAAATAGAAAATCCATGGCATCATAAAAGCACCATCGCCAAGAGGGCAAGGAAGCAAATTTCCCGCTCATTCATCCATCATTCAAGGCCCCCTCTCCCCCTACGGCCAGAAATCCCAAAGCACAAGAGGAGCAAGGCTCGATTGTCTACCAATCAAGCGGCTCCTTAATCTCCTCCCCGCGATTCGTCTTCTTGACCGGGACAGCCTTCACCGCTAGCCTCCCATTCTTGGCGCGCTTGAGGTACCCACTGCCATCCAGCCACGGCGTTACGGTGCTCATTTTGCGCTCAAAAGCATTGATCTTCTCCTCCATCTGCATCGTGAGTCCAATGTCATCCAAGCCGTTGACTAGGCAGTGCTTGCGGAACTCCTCGACCTCGAAGCTGCAGATCTTCTCGCCTGCCGCGTTGTTGATCACCTGGTTTGGAAGGTCAACTTCGATCTCGCGGCCGGCGTGCGCCTCGGCTGTGATGGCGTCCAGATCGGCCTTGTTGGTGATGGCGATGGGCAGCATCCCGTTTTTAAACGTGTTGTTGAAGAAGATGTCAGCGAAAGAAGGCGCGATCACGCACTTGATGCCAAAGTCGAGTAGAGCCCAGGGGGCGTGTTCGCGCGACGATCCACATCCAAAATTGGGCCCAGTGACGACCAAGATCTTGGATTTGCGGTATTGGGGCTGGTTGAGGACAAAATCGGGCTTCTCGGAGCCGTCCTCGTTAAAGCGGAGGGCGTAGAAGAGAGCAGAGGCGAGGCCGGTGCGCTTAATGGTCTTGAGGAACTGTTTGGGGATGATGGCGTCCGTGTCGACGTTTTGACGTTCGAGAGGAGCGGCGATACCCTTGTAGACAGTAAACTTGGGGAGACCGGCAGATGTGGCAGCGGACATGGTGTTGGTGTGTGGCTCGTTGTCTTCAGGCTGGTCACCGATCATCTCGCACTCAGCATCGTCACTCTCAACTCGCTCGTCGACGTGGGGCTTGATCTCCATGGGAGGAGGGGTGGATTTCCGGGTAAAGTTTTCGTATCCTGCGAGTTTCCGGACATCGGTAAGCTTGCCGACAATAGCACACGCAGCAGCAGTAACAGGCGAGACCAAATGAGTGCGTCCGTAGGCTCCTTGTCTACCTTCAAAATTGCGATTAGAGGTACTGGCACAACGCTCCCTTGGCGACAGGATATCCGGGTTCATGCCCAGGCACATACTGCAGCCAGCCTCACGCCACTCGAACCCAGCATCAGTGAAGATCTTGTCCAGACCTTCGGCCTCGGCCTTGTCTTTCACGAGCCCACTGCCAGGAACAATCATCGCTCTCTTAATGTTTGCCGCGATCTTCCTGCCCTTGAGCACCGCCGCCGCTGCTCTCAAATCTTCAATTCTCGCATTTGTGCACGAGCCAATGAAGATCTTATCCAGCACAATATCCTCCATCCGCATGCCCGCAGTGAGTCCCATGTACTCCAGCATGCGCTGTCCACTGGCCTGCTTATCCTTCGTAGCGAAAGTCGACGGATCAGGAACTTTGCCCGTGATCGGTACGACGTCCTCGGGCGAGGTTCCCCAGGTAACAGTCGGTGCAATGTCCTTCGCGTCAATAAAAACGTCAATGTCATATTGGGCGCCCGGGTCAGACTTAAGCCCCTCCCAGTACTTGACGGCTCTCTTCCACTCCTCCGAGTCGTACTTGGGGGCCAGCGGGCGGCCCTTGAGATACTCGAATGTGACTTCGTCAGGTGCAACCATGCCAGCTCGGGCACCGCCTTCAATCGACATGTTGCAGATCGACATGCGGCCCTCCATGCTGAGGGATTTGATAGCGGATCCGCAGAACTCAATCACGGCACCCGTGCCACCAGCCGTGCCAATCTGTCCGATGGCGTGGAGGATGATATCCTTGGAGGAGACGCCAGGGGCGAGCTCGCCGTCAACCTGGATCCGCATGTTCTTGCTACGCTTGGTGATGAGGGTTTGCGTCGCAAGGACGTGCTCGACCTCACTGGTGCCGATACCAAAGGCCAGAGATCCGAAGGCCCCATGTGTAGACGTGTGCGAGTCGCCGCAGACGACGGTCGTGCCGGGGAGGGTGAAGCCTTGCTCGGGGCCGATGATATGCACGATGCCCTGGCGCTTGTCACCGAGGCCGAAGTATGTGATGCCGAAGTCCTTGACGTTGTCTTCGAGGGTCATGCATTGCAGGCGGGAGTCCTCCTCCTCGACGAAGGTCTCGATGCTCTTGAGGTTCTTCCGCGACGTGGTAGGGACGTTCTGCGGCGAGTTAGCTCTTCCTCTTCTATAGCAATTGGGGACTGTAGCAATTGGGGACCGTAGCAGAGTAGGCTAGAGGGTAGAGGATGGCATAAAGACGTACGTGATCGGTAGTAGCCAGAGTGCAATCTGGGCGTCGGACCTTGCGGCCGGCATTCTTCAAACCCTCGAAAGCTTGCTGTAGCCCAGTCAGTCAGTATGTAGCTCAGTCGCTTGCTCTCACCTCAGACTCCAGAGACACTTACAGGAGAAGTGACCTCATGGACCAGATGCCTGTCTATACACCCGAACCATCAGTCTCACCCTCACCCTCACCCTCACGTAGGCACCAGCAGCAGTCCCACGTACCGATATACAGCAGAATGGTTCCATCCAGTCTCTCATCAACGATATGATCCTGGAGGACCTTGTCGTACAAAGTCTGCGGGCGTGGCTCTGCGGTCGGCATGGTTGAGGTAGATGTGTCTGTCTTTCTGTGATGTTTGTTTGTGATGTCTGCCCGTGATGTCCGATTCTTTACTGAAGATAGAGATGAAGGTAAGAAAGATGATGATAGAGAAGATGGGGAGGAGATTGTCTTTGTTGTCTAACTTGTTCTCGTCGTTGCCTTTTGTTGGGAAAGCAAGATAGAAACGAAGGAGAGGAAGTTTTCAAATATTTGTTTATCGGGCGGTGCGGGGTGACTGATGCCGCAATGATCAGCGAATCGGGTCCCGATATCGCTCGCTACTGTACTGGGAAAGGGAGTTGGTAGAAGTTAAGGGAGGGATCCCTGCCTGCGCTTTCCCCGCCGTACTACGTATTTTGATACGGTGCCAAGCTGAGGATTGACCAATCACAGACGCAGTATTACCTACTTACTTCGTTCCAGTACATGGGTAAGCGGGGAAATGGCAGAGGGGGAGTAAGGAGGGGAGGGGAGCGAACCGAACGGAGGGGAACGAGATCTCACCGGGGCATTCTTTAGGTAGGTACCGGTATAGGTGGAGGGGTAAAGTGTCTGTATCTGGCCGCAAGTCAACCTGCCAGTGCCGACCGGCCGCAATCGCTCCCTCATGTGGTACCAGTAGGTATCCGTAGTCAAGGACTACCGGTATACGGTAGTCACCTCATCTACAGTACCGGTACTGTACGGAGTAGACCCCCCTCACCCAGGCTAGGCTGGGCTAGGCTGTGCTGGGCTGGGCTAGGCTGGGCTGGGCTGAGCTAGGCTGGGCTAGGCTAGGCTGGCCGCACATCAATCATCTCCATGCGTGCATACCTAGCTCCACGCTACTGCATGCACGTATGCACGTATGCACGTGCAGTCGCTCCTTTTGTCACGTGACACACACTCTTTCCTTTCTCTCTCTCTCTCTCTCTCTCTCTTCCTCAGCGACACAGTTACACTTCCAATTCCCTCCTCAGTCACCACCTACCTATCGAACACTCATCAAGGTAATGGAAAAGGTAATACATCATACTGGTGAGCAATAGTAATAACCGCTAACCTCAGACTCAGACACTCTCCTTCTCTCTCCTCCTTGGTAGACAAGATATACTTTGTCTGTACTCCCCCGGACACAGACTCAGACCCCCATCAAAACCCGCACCAAGCCCCCCACCCCCATCACTGCCCCCGTGACCGCTCCCAGCACCCGGATACCCAATACCACCACGAGAAAACTGCCCCCCACGAACCCCCCTGCCGCCGCGAACAGCACCCAGTCCTGCACCGTCAACTCCTGCCGCTCAAATCGCTTCCGCACCGCACTCTCCGCGTTGAAGGCCGGCTCCACAAACACCCAGCAGCTATGCCAGAAGCCGGCCATCACCTGGTCGACTGGCAGCGGCAGCGGCTTCTTCTTCAACCCCGACGGGGCGGGCGACGTTTGAGTCTCACTTGGATGGACTAGCACGAAAGCGACAGCATCCCCATCATCCGTTCCCTTTGACCCTGCATTCTCTGCTTTCAAATTTCCAGCCTCAGTTGGCAAGATGACCTGCTTCTCCTGCGTGCCGACGATTAGTACCGGCTCTCGGGCCGGGCTCACGCTCGGCTCTGGTCGGATGACCTCCGGTTTTCGGGCCGGGCTCACACTCGGCTCTGGTCGGATAACCTCCGGCTTTCGGGTCGGGCTCACGCTCGGCTCCCGTCTGACGACCACCAGTCTACTCCGCGTGTTCCCAGAACGATTTCCGGTGTCTCCTCTGCCGGATGGGGATGCTCCAGTCATGGTCTCCCCTTTCTTCTCGTCCGACTTTTGTTTTCTTGACCTCGCCGGACTGAGCTGCTCTCCCACCGGATCTTCCGCCTTCTCCTTTGCCATACTGTGTCTTCGATGCTGGAATGCCATGCGGGCTGCGCTTCTCGCTGCTTGGCTCTCCCGCTCGGGCGTCAGGGACGTAGATATGGATATGGGTGTGTTCTTCAGCTCCACTCGCTCGCCGTCGGGAGAAACCCTCTGACATAACCTTGCGGTCCGCTGCTTGGTCTCCTCGAGGTGGCGTTCCGATGATATGACGATGTCTGCTGGATGAGTGTGGTGCGACTCGTTCTGCCGCTTCCTGGGCTTGGTACTTTGAGCGGAGTCCACCCCCAAAGTCATCCCACGTTGTTTGTGGTGGGGAGCGGAGACTCCCTGGCTTACATTCATGAAGTCCTCTGGACCGTCCGTCTGACCTGGTAAGTGCTGATACGGATCGATACCAGTAGTGGTAGTGATGATAGTGTTGGTGAACAATGGTGGGCTGTCTGGTTCCGTTTTGAGGATCGTGGGCGGCATCCACTAGACATGAAATCAGTAAAGAACCCCCGAGCAGAGAACGAGATACGTACCACTGGGTAAGATTCCTTCGGCGGGTAACTCGACGGGATGCTGGCCGCGTACGGAGGCTTCAGCTTGATCGGTGGTAGTTCGTTCAGGCAAGTGATAACTTTGGTTTGTCGGCTGACGTTTCTCTGGCTTTCGGCCGAAGGGAGTTGGACTTGAACCTGTTTCGTCGAGACTGACTGGAATGGGATCGCTGAAGCTTTTCTTTCTTGCGGGTCTTCGTATTCCCCCCATCGGGCTTCCTTCTCTAAAAAAGAGCTTAGTCTGCGCGACGGATATCTCTTGGTCGCCAGGGCTGGTGCCTTGGGACTTCTATTTGCTTGCTGCGAATTTAATGGCCCTTGCTGTGGACTTCTGTGGAGACCCGGAGCACTATGTGATTTCGTCATCGTAGCCTCTGGTGCCAAGGGACTTCCTATTCCTTCCGGCCTGTGCATAGGACCAGGCCGTGAAATAGTTTTGCTATCTGCCACGGACTGTAAAGAAGACCTTCTGCCGCTTCCAGGCACTTGCGAGGCTGGAGTAGACAGAGATTCATCCTGTACTTGGATCCCAATCTCCTGTGGACCGCTTACATGTACGATAGGCTGCGGTGTAAGATGTTGGACGCCCTGAATACCCAGGCCATTCTCTTCCCCAGGCTTCTGCTTCACAGGAATCAAGATGGCAGGATTATGGACAATCGTGATCGAAGATTCGTTGCTTTTTCGACGACTTGGAGAACCAACTTCTTTCCGAGGTATAGTATTCTGCCGTGGAACAGAGGGTCGCTTGGCATACGGGCTCGGAGAATCCACTGCTTTCCGGTGGACAGGATGTTGACGTTCAAGCGAGGTCCTCCCACTAGATCGACTAGACAGACGATCTTGCATCAGTAGTGAAGACGCAGCCCTGTGTCCAAAATAATCTTGTGGCCGAATCAGCGCCCCACTAATATAAGGGGTCGGATCATCAGCAGTCGGCATCGGGAAGAGACGATCGCCCGGAGCAAGGTCTGCGTAAACAAATTAGCCGAGCCGAGACTAAGCCCCTGACTTTACTTACCAGCATTTGGCGATCCTACCACCGACTGCACAATCGGACTCAATTCCGGCTCAGCAACGCTGCTCCATCCATTATCACTCAACTGCCACTTCCCGTGCCTCCGCTGCTTCATCCTCTGCTCATACTTTCTTTTCTTCGCCCGCAGACTCAACACCCGTTCCAGCTCCCATTTGTGCTTAGCTTCAGCCTCATCATACCGTCTCTTCTGCTCTTCAACTTTCCTCGCCTCTTCATCAAGCTTCCGTTTAGTCTCATCGCTCATCTCAGACGGCTCGCTCCCGCTACTAACATCCCAATAACCCGTCCTCGGATTCGCGCCTTGGACACCCAAATAATCCCCACTCTCCTTCAAGCTCCGCCTCTGCTGCCTCCTATTCCTCTTATCTTCGAACATCCTCTGCACAAAAGTCAAATCCGCCTCCCCCCCTCTATCTCTCCTTCCCGACGTCCCATCCCCCCTCACCGCCGGCGGCACGTCCGGTAAGGGTTTCCCTGCCCGCTGAAAGTCTCCAGTCCCGGAAACCCAGACATGAGCCTGAAATGGCCCCCTCGCTTTCTCCGCGTCCGCCTGCTGCGTCCTATCCTGCACCTGGTCCCCCGCACCCACAGCTAGACCCGCGCGAGCTACATCCCGGGGAAAATCCTGCTGTCCAGATGCATCCTCGCCATCGCCCTTCTTCGCGCGCAGCGTACCGCCCTTCTCCGACCGATGACTCGGCAGCAGCTTCTTCAGCCCCTCACTGAAGCTGTTCGACCGCCCGTGGACTCTCCGGTCTTTCCTCTCCGCTTGGGTAGTCAGCGCTGCGGGCGGCGGTGACTTGAGCCGTTTCAGGAAGGACGTCGGGTGCCAGGTTGACGAGCGCTTGGAGGGGCTGAGGGGCGAGGTGGTGGGAGGTGGCGACCAGAGGGCGCCGCCGGACATGAGAATACTTGGTGACGAGTGTTTTGGGGGGCTGCCGCGGACGCGGAGAGAGTCCAGCTCTTGCTTCGTGAATGATACGGGTGTGTGGGAGGCTTGAACGTCGGTTGACATCGCACTTGGTATATTATATGCCCTGGATGGGCGGAGTAGTGATGGGTGGTTGTAATGGAGAAGTCGAGAAGAGAGGGGATGAACATATACGGGAAAAGGGGATGGGTTGCCATGCTGGCGAGAGAAGGTACGTTCGAGGAATATGGAAGGAAGGGACGGCTTGCTGTTTAGTAATACTCCTTACCTTGAGAGGACCCGGGAAATAGAGTACTGGCACTTGCCAAAAGTCTAATTGGTAACTGAAGCAGGATATAAAGAATGAAACAAGGCTCATGTTCCTCGATCGCAGCTGCAGAGATGATATATGGCGTGAGAGTTTGGAGTAAAATGTTTTTTTTTTGAAGGAGACTAGTGAAAAGAGATTACAAACACTACCAAAGAGCGTGAAAATAGGCAACGCAAGAGATTCAGCTGTCCGACATAGAAGAACTTACAAGAAGAGAATGTAATGCATCGATTATGCACCCCACTGCTATGATAAATGCCACCCCGGATGCTCGTCAGATTCCAAGACCTGAACGCCTCCCGATGCAACCAATATCCATACGCACGCAACCTCTGACCTCTCTCATCCGTGACCACATCAAAATCTCGAAGGAAATCGTCTATAAGGGCTATCTAACGCACTCGAGCCCGGCCGTCTGTTCAGCCCAGACGCGGGAGCACTTATCCGTCTCTCATCCTCGATATCGGAAGACGGAGCTCTTCCCTGAAGAAATGACCTCGAGACCTCGCTCTGTCTCTTCGCTGAGCTTTTCTCTCTCTGCTCGCGAATCTCTGACCTCGCCATGTCGAATGAGTTTTTGGGTGGTCCAGGGCTCTGGATGTCGTACATGCTGGTGGCTTTTTTGAGGGGGGAATTGGCGTGGCTGTACACGCCTAAACTGCCACCATCGCCTGTGCTGGGCGTGGTTACAGGGCCCATGCTCTTCCGGAACTGAGGTTGGCGAATAGCAGGTCGAGGTGTCACGGCGGTGAAGGCTGATGGCTCGCGAGAATTGAAGGCCGAGGGAGTATATTGCGGTGCAGGGGATGCTTGCCTGCTGATGCCTGTGAAGTTGTCGGGATCGACGTGTTTGGCGTAGTTGGGATTTGGGTTGGTGCGGAAACCTCGTCTGAGGACGACGGATGGGGTGTAAATGTCCACATCACCATCTCCTTCGTAGTCCGTTCCGGTTCCTGCATCCGAGTACTGTGTAGCAACATCGCGAACAAGTGGGTTGAGTCGAGGGTGGACGTATTTGATATCGTACTCGCTCATGACCTCCTTGTGAATGATGGACGTATCCTGCTCCTGCTGAGAGAAGAAGGTCTGGAGTAGATACAGCTGCGAAGAAAGCAATGCCTGTAGGAGAATAGTTGTAAAGACTGTAACGCTTGGGCGCGGGTCTGCCGCGGCGGTTGGAAGAAAAAGCCAGTAGACCAGGACGTGGCCGGGGCTGAAGAAGCAGAACAAACGAAGACAAATGGGAATAGGGTCCCAGACAGCGATTTCCCATACATCACGAGTGGGATCTGGATGCGCTCTTGACTCGGCACTCGTATCGCCTAGTATATTCGTGAGCAATCGCAGTGGAGAGGAGGATACTGGAGAGGAGTCGACGCGCACTCGGTGCGCGGAGGGGGTGCTCTGAGGGGCATCTATGGACGTTTCGAACAGGCGATAATGCCGCGTCCGAGAGAATGTGTAGGCAGCGTTGACCACGGCGAAGATCGACAAACTCCAGACAACGAGCGTAGCCTGCGATTATATGGTGTCAGTAAGTGATCTTCCAGAGCTCCAGCATTCTTGTCTACTTACGATATAGCTCAGCCAGCCCGTCCCAGAATAGTCGTCTCCGAACACATCATCCCGTCCGCCTCCCAACGAGATTCCCGTGTTCGCCCTCGCAATCAAAAGCGATATGTGTAGCCCCAACGCCAACGGAGTAGCAAACTGCTTGGAGTCCCAGTCCCTCGTCTCGATCTCCTCCGAGATGTACAGCAAGAAGTCGCCCGGGTTCAGGTAGTCCTTGATGCGCTGAAGCGCCGGTTTTCTGCGCACGAGTCTCGGCATATTGGGCAGGTTGTTGTTGGCCTCGACCTTCGCCTCACATCGTCGGGTTGTTGGTGTTGACACAGAGGGTGACGTTCTTTGTTTACACAGCACAGTAGACGCCTAAGGCGCGAATCTTTCGGATGAGGTTTTCGCCTGTAGACAGACAGGGGTTGAATAACTAACTAGCGTTACTTAGTGGGCATGCCGCCCTGAAGAAGGTTGAAGGTCGAAGCTCGAGTTCAGGATTTCTGCGATTTCGGGATTATCGATTAAATTCAAGACAAGATGGCAGCTCCACCATCTGCTTACAAGGACCGGCAATTCCTTGCGGTGATTGGAGACGAGGTGAGTTTTCGCATCTTACGCAGTTCGAATTCAATAGCTAACCGCGCCGAGGACTCTGTGACCGGGCTGCTACTTGCAGGTATTGGTGTATGAACAACAACTGCCCGAGGCTGGAGTGAATTGGATGGCCAGCTGATAGGGATTCAGCATGTCACCGATCCACCCGACTCGCAAAAGAACTTCCTCGTCGTTGACAGCAAGACGGATAATGCAGCTATCGAGGAGGCGTTCGAGAGATTCACCACACAGAGAAAGGATATTGGCATCCTGTTGATTAACCAACATGTGAGGATATTGCTCTGCATCTTCGTATGGGGTCTGATGAATACAGATTGCTGAGCGAATACGTCACCGAGTCGATACCTACACTGCCGCCTTCCCAGCTCTCCTCGAGATCCCCAGCAAGGACCATCCATACGACCCTGAGAAGGACAGTGTGTTGAGACGGGTGCGCAGACTCTTTGGAGAATAGCGGGTGTTTATGATATGATGATTGTCTGTATGGATTGGCCGGGATTGAGCTCTGTACGCTCTGTACATTAGAGGAAGAGCTACGGGCGTTCACTACACAAATGCATTGAGTTTCACAAAGAAATTGACAAAGTTTCTCATCCCCACAGCGCCCTGGTGTACTCACCGCTCGGTGAGCCTCGAGCAGCTAGTGTGAATGATCAGGATCCTGAGGGTAGTCATCTTGTAGCAGGAATCCTTCGGCTATTGTTTACTCGAAGCGAAGTCACTAAAGTAAACAACCCAAAGCGCAATGTAAACTTCGCATTATATCACTGAGCACTACCGTAGATACGAGTTGCATCTGCCAAAAGGAATAACTCCCGTCGCCATAGGTATCACTACAAGCCATGCATCGAAATGGACCAAACACTCCTGTCATTCGTTACCCTCCGGCTCTCCCATCACGCCTCTCAATGCACATTTCATCTCTCCCTGATCAGTCCACCACCTAAGGGAACCCAGATTCACAGTTACGAGTTACTGAACTGAACGGTAGCCTCCAAGCAAGTAATATGCTTGCCATCCATAGTGTACGCATCAGCGAAGACGGAGTATTTTCCCTGTATGTCCACCATTAGCACCGCATCAAGCTCAAAGCATCGAACTTAACTAACGGGTGGGATTTCCTTCGGCAGCTCAACATCCTTCGTGATGGTAATAGGCCCCTTCTTAATCGGGCACTCCATATCCACATTGCTAACCTGCTGGCAGAGATCCGCCTCTGTGTTCACCAGCCGGATCAGTCCGTACTTGACCTGCAGGATAACCTTCGCGTCCTGCTCGATATCTTCGAGCAGTGTTCCGACGGCTTCGATCCTCAGGGTTTGTCCGCTACGGTTTGCCTTATATTAGCATATGATATATATATATCAGAAATGAGTTTGAGAGCTGGGCAGGATACGCACGCCTTGGGAGGGTTGGGACTCAGGTTGACCTTCTGCAGCGTCAAGATGTCAGACGAGTGGTCGGCTTTGCAGAAGGTGAGAGGGTTGTCGCCGGGCACTGGTCCCCCCTCGCCGAGGACCTTCTGACTGCCGAAGAGCGACAAGCCATCTACGGCGACCAGGCTGCTGAGGAGCAGGGTGAGGATGCTGGAGGGGAACTTCATATTTCGGGTGCGTGGGGGTTTTCGAGGATATGAGGTTTGCGATGTTAATGGGGAGCGGTCGGGATTGCGGAGCTGGACGAGCTGAGGCTCGTGGGTGGCGGGGGCTGAGCAGTTGATGGCCTTGGCATGGATGGACAATGACGTTGCCGGGTCAGAAGACGCAGGAGGAGCTTTTGATATAGCCATTGTTGATACAGATAACGGGAATAGACCTCGTCCTTTAGAAGCACATTTTCTATACCGCCAACTTCTATTCCATAAAGATTTTCTATTGGTCATGTAACAGAATCAACTATTTCTTACTCGTGTATGGTTTATTTCTTGATTAGGTTGGTAGTTGTTAAGTAGTAATAGCATTTATTTACGTCGGGCTGATATCCAAAACGCAATGCTTAGACCCTAGGACCCCTGATGGGGCACGGCGACGTGCTAAGAAAAGGATTTATAAACCAAATATTATCTAATAGAGAGTGAGATCAAATTAAGGAAACGCTTTGTTTCAGATCGCTCCGTGGTTTTGATCGCGCGGTATCGCAGACTCCCTATAAGCCTCTTAAAGCATTTCAAATAACTTGCACCAAGTTGTCTCTCGGTAACTGTCGAATACGTATAGCCTTACGAGCGGCCTCGATCCTATAATTACAAACACCGTTTCGTTGTCGTAAAGCTATGAACGCTCGCGCTCGTAGCCTGTATATAGAGCCGGTATGTTTACAGAACGCTTTTTTGAGGGCGCAATACTGGGTTTTGAATCGATCGAACCGAGCCCTTTCTGTCTCTCACACCCGTTCTCTCTCTATTAAAAATCCTCTCAATTTATTTTCAATCGGTCGACCCGTCAGAAATAAATCGTAGTCGGCGTAGTAGTCGAGATGAAGAAAGAGGTATGGAACCGACGTTAAAGGAGAATCTCTTCGAGGAGACGTCGCATGGCGATGATTCAATTTCGGCTCTCCAGACTGTCTCTACCGTAAGAGAGAGGGAGCCGAAGGTTCGTAGGAGGCACCTCGCACAGGTAAAGAATCGTAGCCTCCCCCTAGTAGCTTTGAAGATATTTAGAACGGACAAAGGATATTTGATTGTTTCGGACAAATTTTCGCTACATTTTCATCACATCGCAATGTCCTGACTTGCAACGGTTGGACACATCTTTATAGCTATGACACATATTTGTAAAATAGCAATGCTTTCTAAGCATATAATTTTGCTAAAATATTTTTTAAAATGAATAAGAATAATTAATAGATGTACTCAACAGAACATGTGTAAGAAGCCAATCCTGAGAAATAATTAATAGATGTGATTACTAAAAGTGACTAATAAAGCCTTGGTGGTGCCGACCTGGCCGCGCTAGGTCGGTATTTTTACAATGGTACCGGTACTCCAAGCGCATTACCGTAATTTCGATCGGCTGAACAGAGCTTTTCCTATCGCCTACCGGTACATCCTTTTTCTCCTCGTCGAAATTTCTTGCGGTATATTCTTAGCTGGTTGGCTCGTTAATTATCATAGCTTCCTACTATGAATAGCTGGTTAAGCGAGAATTCGACTTTATATTTAGAATGATCTGCGATATAAGCACCGAAAGACAAGTATAGTTGCTGCATGACAGAGACTGCACGGGGAAACGCTTCCAAGGGTTGGGTAAGCGCAAATCTGGCAAATTTGACCCGGTACTTGGGAGGATTTTCGACATGGAGATAGGTAATCGGCTTGGCCGTCCCTGAGCCGAAGATGAGGAAGGACGGCCCAAGTGATTATGCCGGGCAGCACGAATGAAATTTCCAGGTGCGGTTTCTAATGTTAATCTAATATTAGTTGACGAGATGTATTATCGGATGGGAATCAATGAATGAGGATATATATCTCCTCCTGCACCTGTTCTGAATCCAGCTCACCATCATCTTCACCATCTTCACCATCTTCACCATCTTCACCATCTTCGCCATCTTCGCCATCTTCGCCATCTTCGCCATCTTCGCCATCTTCTCCCTCTTCAAGCTTATTCTCTCTCCTCAACTCGCACCATCAAAAGGCTTCAAAGCCTTCATCCAAGACACGATGCCTCGACTATCGCAATTTCTTTGCCCAACCGTGCTGGCCTTGAGCTTCCTACTCACGGGAGCTCAAGCTCAAGATGGAAGAAAGATTATCGGCTATCGAACAGTCAACAAAGTAAGTTTAACACGATCTACAGAGTCTAGCCATAACACCCTCGCCGTTTCAGTATAAGCTTATACTAATTTCTACGCGAATTATAGGAGGAGGCTGAGTATATCAATGAAAACCACAAGCCTTCCACAGATGATGACTTCGATGATGAGGAAGGGCCTCGCCAATTAGGAGAAGTCGGCTATTTTTACACGAGTGAGTTGCCTTGCATTTATAGATCCTTACCTTACCCACTGTTTGGGATTGTACGGGGATTATTAGCCTCTTGGCTATTCCCACAGTATCTACCTACCTACCTACCTACCTACCTACCTACCCAGCTCTCAGCTCTCAGCTCTCAGCTCTCTCCAACCCCGCGCCCTTCATTTCTACTTATCACTCACGTCGTATGACTCGGAACTAACGACCCTGATAGCAAACACCCCTCCTGGATGGCAAGGCGACGAAGACGATTGGTACTGCGTCGTCAAAGCGAACAGTGAGAAGATCGACGCGGCCGAAAAAGTATGGGTTCCGGAATACTACGCCTGGGGTGCGGGCTCGAGCGCGGATCCCAATAAGATGTACCTCTGGAGCGGAGACGAAGGTCTCCTCACGGAATACATCACCTCTCTGGCAAAGCCAGGCGGCACGGAGTCACCAGACCCCGCGACGGCCCTGCGCTTCTCGTACATCGCCTTCTGGGACAAGCAGCAGCTGCAGATGGTCATCCCAGATGCACTGCTCAAGGACGATGAGTTGGATTTGTGGGCCGAGTGCTACGAGACGGAGGCGAAGCTGGAGGAGCAGGCGACCGAGACGGTTGATTGGAACAGTTGGCGTATTCTGGGCGGCCCGGGACAAGAATCTGAAGTATGGCCTTACGTGCAGCCGGACAACGAAGAAGACTGGCCTTACAAGGGGCCGGGCACCGATAAAGGGGAGGCGTAGAGAATTGGTTGAACGGAAGTCCTTCAACAAGATGGCTCGTGCTCCTGGCGCCTGTGTTGGTCTAAGGCCATGACAGATCCTTACCCGGAAAGAATTTGGAAAAGGCTTTGTATCATAGTCAGAATGGTGTCATGGTCGGAATGGTGTCATGGTCGGAATGGTGTTATGGTCAGACTGGTGTTATGGTCAGGATGGTGTTATGCTCAGAATGGTGTTATAGTCAGAATTGTATCATAGTCCGAATTGTGTTACAGTCAGAATTGCATCATAGTCAGAATTGTGTTACAGTCAGAACGGGATGGCTCATCACTTTGATTAACATCGAGCAAAGAGACGACCACTATCCCAATTGTAGCATTTCCTGCTATCCAAAAGCCTCCTCTGTGATCATTACAAGAGTCTTTAGGTCCTGCATGCCAGCTGCATATCGCCAGCCCGCTCCAAAAGACAGCAAGCAGCACCTTTCGGGATATAATCGAATCTGAGAGAGATCAAAACCTTTGATTTTTCAATGCTTTTTCGAAGGATTCCTCGCTCCTATCTGTGCTGGAAGAGTTGGGGCCGGTGTATTTCACTCAGACTTTGCTTGATACGCATATGGTCAGTATCGTTTCGTTGTAAATGGCTGGCTGCGCCGACGAAGAAAGCTCCTCTGGGACACGATGATTTATCGAGTCATTGTCTTGGTCGATGGAAGAAGCAGAGAGCCATATGCCGTCCGTATTGAGGGAGGTAGCAGTGACATTTTCGAGGACTCTTCTGTTTGGGCGAGGAAACATCACCTAGGTCCGCTTTTACATAGTACCTCAGCACCGGATACTCACAGAGCCTGAGGGGCAGGAGAAGCAAGCGGGACGAGCCCTTCGTCGGACGTGCCAGTGCGGAAGGTTGAGAAAGGTGTGAGAGACTGATAGTCACCCCCTCCCCTCCATCCCACCCCGTCTTTCTCACACCCTCTTCTTCATCTCCACCTCCTCCAACCCCCGCCCAATGGCCCCCTGAACCTCAAACGCCCTCCCCACCGCCCTCATGCTCCCCAGCAAACACGCCAACGGAATCACAATCCAAGCGCCGTTCATACCGACAAAGTAGAACCAGAAATAATACCCCTCGGGCCGGTAGTACCGCTCCCCTCGGAAGAAATCTTCATAGAGGCTGGTGCAATAGTAGAGCAAGGCGCCGTAGAAATGGCCCGTGGAGACGAGGGCTTGGAGCGGGTGCCGGTACGGGGAAGAGGTGGTTATGTGATGGGCGGTTAAGAGCGAGAGGGGGCCCCAGATGAGCTAGGGAAGGGGTATTAGATACCATCCGGGTTTCGAGTAAGAGAAGAGGGGGTAAGAGGATTTAGGAGAGAGAAGGGACGGGCGTACGGCGGTCCAGGATTCCATACATAAGACGAAAGGGTCGGATGTCATGTAGCGGGAATCAGAGAGGGCGTATTCTTTCCACAGCTGGCCAAAGAAGTCGGTCATGGAGGCCATGCGGTGGTGGTTGTAGATGAAGTAGCCCTCGAAGAAGATGTGGATGCAGCCGCCTATTGAGAGTCAGTTCTGGGATCTCATCAGGGAGTTGAAATTTGGACCCGAATTCGCATTGGATTGGAGTGGAGTGTGATTGTATTGGATTCGAGGGGTAAGGGGAGACGCACAAAGAGTAAACCATAAGACCAGGCATCTGTCGCTGCTGCTCAGCTTAGGGTTGACTCTTTGGACAAACAGCAAGGTGACGGCCATTATGGCTAGCCACTGCGTAGAGATTAGCTAGCTCTACGTATTAATGAAAAAGCATAGTTCTAAGATCTCAGGGCTTAGTGACATCTTTGACCCAAAGGCTGTTGATATGTCTCTCCCCATTCCTAGGGCTCTGATCGAGAGAGAGATTGGGGAACGGCTCTGTCCGAACGTACTCCTGCGCCGAAGATGGCGATCAGTGTGAACACATTCCAGTCGTTTTCAACAAAGACGCCACCCGAGAGGACGATCTCTGGAGGGAAGTAGGGGTGGTTGCCTGTCGACATAGTTGTATCAGAAGTCCCAGTGTGTGCTGTTAATGAGTAAAGCTTTTCCGTCGAGTCACGCCGCGTCGGTTCGCTTCGCGAAACGTAGGTCTCGTGTTCTCCGGGAAAGCACGAGATGTTATTGTGATGGTCTTTTGCTTCTTGTCAATGTTCATCCCTCCTTTGCCTCGACAGCTCTTGAAGATCGAGTCGGAAACAAGATTCATCTACCGGTACCTAGGTATCTACCGGTACACATCTGTGTCTGGCTGGTATCACGTGACCCGGCTAATGCTTTTTACTCCCGCGACCTAGCGTCTAGGGTTTCCCATGTCGTATTCAGACGGGTAGCGGTACGGTACTCAGTCAGTCATTGATCGACACGGTCTCTTCCTCTTCTTCTCTTGTCTTTCCTTCCCCCCTTCCCCCCTTCCCCCCTTCCCCCCTTCCCCTCCCTCCTTCTTGACTCCGTACCCGGCACTCTGGTCTCGTCTCGTCGGTCAGGCCCAACTCCCAATTCGGTCAGGTTGGGTCTATTCTTATTCTTGTTTACTTATTATCTTACTTACTCCGTGCTGACTTTCCTTACCTCTGGCTTCGGTGGAGTCCAACATCCAATCCATCCACCCAATCCATCCATCCAACGCCCTTCTGCGGCAGCGCCACTGCACGCTAAGACTTAGCGTTCCCTTCTATTGGCGGGATGCCTCGGCGCTAGGACCAGAAGGGTCAAGGCCCAGCTGGTTAAGCACAGTGCCACTTGACTAGGGTGCGAAGTGGATCCATCATTCCGACAACATCCAGTCCCCGTCCCACCGAGTGACAGCCAGCGAGCGATACTGGACCAACTCTGCCTCTCGCATCGCATCTGCATCTGCATCTATCTGCGTCTGCATCAATATCATCATTATCATCTATCGCGAAACCCAGTTCGCTTATCAGATTTTATTCGACCGGGCCAGACCAGACCAGACCAGACCAGACCAGACCAGACCGGAGCTGACGATGCATCATCATCACCTTCATCATCATCGACGTTGCCTTGCCATATATATATGTTGATATACCGATGATACATGCCTATATATACATATATACCGTACACATACATATATCTAACAGTATGGCCCAGATCGGAAGCACTTTGTTGCACTTCGTACCTCCAACCCATCCATCCACCCTCTCCACCCTCTCCACCCCCATGTTACAACTACCATGACCTACCTGGAAATGCGCTTCGGGTCTGTCCCGCGACCCGTACCCTCCGGCCAAAAGCGGCCCTCATCCCATCCATTTCCATTGCGCTAGGTCGCTCTTTCCTTGGGCAAAGGCCAGGGCCCCGTCGACCAGTCAGGACTCATCTTCTCCCCCTCTCATCTCCTGGTCGTCGTGTTTCTTCCTCCTCCTCCTCCTCTCCTCCTCCACCTTCTCCTCCTGCTGTCCATCCTGCTCTTACTACTATCGCATGCATCCACATCTTCACATTCGCACTCATTCAAGATTCTCAACAACCCCCCTTCTCTCTCACATCATCCTCGAATCGCCCTGGACAATTAGATCTGGTCCCTTGATCCACGCCATCCGCCGTCCGCCATCCCCCATCTACCATCCACCATCCACCATCCTCCACCACCTCGCGCTTCAATTTCAAGGGCCGGTCAGATAGATCACTACCCGCTCATCCATCCATTCACGCAGGCGGTTTTCCCCTGGCCATTCGAGCCCTTATCCCTCGAGATATCCTCTTTCATCTCCACGACTACTCCTCTCCTCCTCCTTGGCTGCGAAAAAAGTCTTCTCTCCCCCCCCACCCCCCTCGAGTCGATTCCCAGCCTCACGACGCCGTACTCGAAATTGACTCGTCGTTCGATCGCCATAAACATCATCGGGGAGGCGTATACAATCGTAAAATTTGCGTCTGCCGGTTCCGACCTGCCTGTGCTTCGAGTCCTCCGCCTACGCTGTAACGTGCGACGTGAACCTTCTACACTCTTTTCCCGCAACTGATGAGATTCGTCGTCATCTCCGACCCTCCTGCTCGCTCTGCGACACGTCTCTCGATTGAGTCGCGGCCGTCTTCGTCATGCGACTCAGGCCAAAGGATCAGTGAACTCACCTTGACCCTCCTACGTGTACAGCCACCTAGAGGCTCCTGCTAGATTATGACAGAAAGGCCTCTCTCGATCGCCACGCAGATCGCGACTCCCATTCCAGCCGCCCTGTCCTCTACGGCTTCGATATCTGCGGGCGATCCACGTCCGGTCGGCGAGTCCGCAGAAGAGGAGCCCTACACCATCAAGTGCATCTGTGATTATTCCGACGACGATGGAAATACTATTTACTGCGAGATTTGCGATACATGGCAACATATCGAATGCTACTACCCAGGCCAAGTGGACAATGCTTCCAAGGAGGAGTTCGACCACTCCTGTGCTGACTGCAAACCGCGAATGGGCCTACTAGACCGACGGCATGCGACCGAACGGCAACGGCAGCAACGGCAGAACAAAGCAGTTGACAGCCCCGATAAGAAGACCAAGCGGCCACCCTCCAAGAGTCATAAGAAGAAGGCGAAGCCATCAGAAGTTCATATCAATAATGGCCATCAAGACCACGATGCCCATAAACACGGCAGCCCTCCCCCTCCCACGAAAAAGTCGAAAGGCCATCGATCAAATCAATCGGTCAGCTCGCAGATAAAACGGAGTCCACCCATCACTGCACGATCACACATTCATGCTCATCCCCCGAGTCCGGTACACACTCCGCCGGATCTCCCCTCCAAAGGTTACGACTACTCCGAAAGATTTATGAGATTGTACGATGATGACAAGTCAATCCTGATAACCTCAACCAACTCGTTCGCGAGCCTCTCTGTGTCGAATTCGATGGGCTTGTGGCTCAACGACGCTGCGAAGATGTACGAGGACACCGGCATGAAGAAGGAGGATTGCTTCGACTTCCTCAAAGTACCCGTCGACTCCCTGAGATGGCCTGAACTCCGGATAGAGCGGCGACAGGAGACCGACAGAGGGACGACCTTCACTCGAATATGCCTGATCAATGTAGCCCACATCACCGGAACTCTACCCGTCGGTGAGCTCAATGGTATCGTCGGTACCCAAAACGACTACTGTAACGATGTTGAGAATCGATGGGCAGACATGGCCCACCCGCGACCTTTCGTCTTCTTCATCCCACACCTCCCCCTCTTCATAGATACTAGAAGCGAGGGCTCATTGTGTCGATATGTGCGGCGTAGTTGTCGGCCGAATACGGCCTTGGAAATCTTTATTGCACAACGCTCGGAGTATCACTTTTGGCTAACGACTGATCGTCCCCTCGCTGCTAACGAAGAAATAACTATGCCATGGGAATTCAAGTTTCCGTCGCAGCTCAGTTCTCGATTCCACCGTCTCCTGAACCTCATTGATGAAGAAGCCTCCAAGCCAGATGGACTCGACGCGACCGATGAGGAATACGATGTGCTAATACCACTTATTCATACGGTTCTCTCCGATCATGGCGGGTGCGCCTGCAATCTCGGTAGTGGTTGCGCCTTTGCTCGATTTCATGCAGCATATAAAGCCAGGCAACAGACCTTACAACAACAACAACAACAGCAGCAGCAGCAGCAACAGCAACAACAGCAGCAGCAGCAACAACAACAACAGCAGCAGCAGCAACAGCAACAGCAGCAGCAGCAGCAACAACAACAACAACAACAACAACATGCCGCCAAGACAAAGAAAGGTCGAAGGCCGAAACAGAGCCACATGTCGCCCACGAGCACAGGCCATGCTACTAATAGCCGAGACGCTAGTGAAGGCCAGGACGAAGACGATAACCGGTCAATATCTGGTTCGGTCCGTAGTAAACCTCGCAGTCGTGACTTGACCCCGTCACACAGTGCTGAACCCAACGGACTTCTCACGGAACATTCTGAACGGGAGAAGAGAAAATTGGCAGCGCTCGAAGACTCGTTCCGCAAAATGGAGCAGGGACAGCCACCGAGGAAAAAGAAACGCGCATCTGATGGATCGAGCATGAGCTTGCCTGCTCACGCCGCAGCCAACCAACCTACCGCAAAACCCCGGCAACGTTCAGCAGCATCCCGCGCATCGATCTCGCAAACTTCTGGTACGGCCGCCAACGGATCTAGATCGCGGCAGTACGTTGATGCAAGCACTGCGTCGAGGAGGGAATCCGCATCACCATCCAGCGCCGGTGCTGTCTCGCCAACCGCCGCGCAACGTTCGCCCGACCACCGCCCCTCTCCCCATCCCTCACTCCCATACCGCTCGCGCAATAGCTCGACGCATCCGAAACCTTCATACGTGGAATCGTCTACGCAGACTGACGAGGTGGATAATGCTTGGTGGAACGCCCCAACACCGAGGGTGAAACGGAAGATTCTGCCTCTGGCCACCCGCCTCCTCAAGAACCGGCAGAATATCCAACGAAAGCAAGAGGCGGAAGCTCTACAACGACAGGCTTCGGTGGTTGGCGACGAGAGCCAGACTGGCGACGCTTCTCCATTGGTTCCTGTACCCGCAGACACAACCAGCCATGGAGGTAGCCCCACGGATTTACCGACAGATACAAAAGATCGAAACACGAGCGTCGCATCTTCGGCGTCTTCGCTGGGTAATCCAGATCCTGTCGACATCACTATGCCCGACGCACCGGCCGTCTCGGACAGTCCCGTTGATAAGCCCCTTCCGCCAACGTGGCCAGACGCCGCGGGTGACTCTCATCCTTCCCCAAAAATTACTCTCAGGATGCCTCCTACTCCCGTCCTCTCGCCCCCGATCTTGTCGGCTACAGTCTGCGAAACTCCTACCAAGACGCCTACATCTGCGCGACCTCCAAATGGAGCCACACCGGTCTTCTCTGCTGCTGCTGCCAACGGTGCTCCGCCAGTCCCGATTAAGCCCGAGAGAAAGAAGCTCAGCTTGAGCGACTACGCAGCAAGAAGGGCGAAGAAAACGGACGCGATTGTGGCCGCGCCGGGAAGCAGCCCGACTCTTTCACCGGCGGTCTTGAAGCCATCTTTATCGACGATCGAGGAGGCGGGGGCCCAGGGAGGTCTTGAGGGATCCGCAATGGTCGAATCTCCGACGATTGTAGAGAAGAGCGTCGATCTTGTAGCGGCGGCAGGTGCAACCTCGGGATCTCTACCGATCAACAACCCCCCGGCCGTCACAAAAGGCTGATGGCTCGCTGTAAACCATTTCTAGATTTTCTCTTTACCGGCGCTCCTGAACCCGCTCGCCACGACTGGCGTTTTATTTTCTCTTCTCTTCGTTTCTCGTTCTCCATAGGGTCTGAGCGATTGTGTTTTACTGGGATTCTGGGTTTGGCTGGCCGGTGTGTCTTGGCCTGGCCTGGTCTGGCTACAAAGGCTAGGCTTGGGGGCTTCATCAAAAAGGGGCTTTGGAATAGCTCTGGCGTACTCGGGGTTGGGTTGGTACCTTTGTTGTGGATTTGTTCCTTGCGGACAAATACCCGTGGGGCTCTCTGGAGATTACCCCTGAGAGTAGGTGGGTGGGATGAAACAATGATGGGAGGGAGGATGGGCATGGCCATGGACATGGAATGAGGGTAGGGAGGGAAATGAGAGCAGGGCAAATACCCCTTTGTTATTTGTATGTGACTGTAGTTGAGGATCATAAAGAGAAAGCCTCCACGGCACAGAAAATTTTCGAATTCAAACCAGATCGGACTTCTTTTTCCCTTTTTCTTTGAAGGGGTAAGTGTGCGGAGTCGGGGAAGGTGAGGTTGCATTTTGGCTCTTTTGGCTCCCTTTTGGCTCTTTTGGCTCTTTTGGCTCTTTTGGCTGATGATCAGGCAGGAGGCCACTCGTTCTGCTTGTCGAGGCTGTGTGGTACTTTATATTGTGATAATGGAGTTCGGCTTGCCGGCTTGCTGGCTTGCTGGCTACAGTTGTTCTGTCTGATAGATTTGATCGTACATGTAAATCCATACAGACATACATACATACATACATACATACATAAACACGTGAATATATATATATATATATACACATGTCTGGTTGGTCTTGCAATCACCTAATCTCATCTCGTCCCATCCATGGTTGCTTGTCTGGACCATCATCATCCATCGATTCTTTATTTGATTTCATCTATACATACTGCACTGCACTGCGCTGCACTGCGCTGCACACACTTGCTTCCATCCATCCATCCAACCAACCAACCAACCAACCAACCAACCGTGCGCGCCTCTTTTCCCTCGTCTGTCCTTCTCTTCTGCCTGTGGCAGCCGAGCCGGCCCAGTTCGTATGTCCGATGGTGGGTGGTGCAATCGATCACTTAACTCTCATTTTTCGTTCAAACTGTGCAACCCCCCAACCCCAACCCCAACCCCCCTTCACTCACCTCACCTCACCAGGTTATCGCTCTCGAAAACCAGCAGCGCAAAGTTATGCCTCACGAACAAGCCGAGCAAGCCCACGGCCGACTGGACGAGCAGTATCTCGGCCGCGAGCCGGTCCTCGCGCCGAGGACCCCACCACACCAGCCACAGGTTCAGGATGGTGAAGTTGGTGCTCTCCGTCACGACGCCCTCGGCGTTCCACGTCACCCGCAGCAGGCGCAGCCGGTGCAGGATCGTGAGGAACGCGTTCTGGATACTGGTGGGCGGGAGGGCCCACTCGGTCACGGACGCTTCCATGAGGCCGGTGCGGGCGTTGAATCGCGGGAGGCGGTGGCGCGGGCAGGGGATCAGCCGGAAGAGCTGCGGTGCCGAGTAGAGGAAGTTGAAGATCTGCGGGATGAACAGGAGGAGCAGGGTTTTGGAGAAGTGGCCTAGGATCCCGACGACGGCGAAGACCATGCCGGCGAAGTAGCAGTAGGTGTCGCCTACGAAGACCCGGCTCGGGTACCAGTTGTGGCAGAGCAAGGCGATCGAGACGCCGATGAAGGGGAGGAGGAAGAAGAGGGAGAAGAGATGGGAGTCGGTCGCCGGGTGGAGCGGGGGCGACTGGCTGGGGATCAGGTAGGAGAGATCGTTTAGGACGAGCAGCGAGGCGATGACGAGGGATTGAGAGACCTCGATGCCGTTTATGCCGGCGAGGATGTTGATACTGTTCGGGCAGAAGATCGCGATGGCGAACATGTAGGCGTAGTAGAGGGGTCCGAGGTCGAAGAGGCCGCCCAGGTAAGGGCGCAGGGGAATCGGGATGACGATCTTGGTGACGCCGAAGTCGACGAAGTAAACGATTAGCAGGGGAATGGAGGCGATTCCTGGGATGAAGAATTTGTGCCGCCAGCGGATGTCAAAGAGGTCGTCTCCTACGCCGAGGAGGCAGATGGATTGGAGGGAGAGGATTGCTGAGAGGTAGGATGCTAGCTGGGTTTGTGTTAGCTATAGTACTGGGCTATTGAGGTATGTAGAAAGAGAAGCTTGTCAGGAGTAAGAGGCCCTAGAAATCGAAGGTGAAAGAAACTATCTTCAAGTATGACTTGTCACTTTTGATATTGATAATGTCTAGAACAGATTTGGACTTTTAAGAACAAAACATAAGATTCAGAACCCTCGCTCTGTGAACGTCCAACACTAGCTGGATGTTGGCAGAAGAACAATTGGAAAGCGCCAATGCTTCAAAACACGAGTCCAGATATCTAAAACATGCCAGATGTTGAAATTTTTCCATATAACAACCCTCAGAGCAGAAAGGGTCCGTACCTTGCTGTGTGGAAATCTATGCAAAAACCTCCCCGTCTGCACAACATCCAACTCAAAAACCACATCTTTGTTCCCCCCTCCCGAAGTCGCCGCCACAATATCCTTGTAAAACGGAAAGGGGATGAACACAATAATGATGAGGAGGTACACCACGGCGCACACCGCGCCCATCGTCTCTGGAATCTCCTTCTTATGCACCTTGGACATATCCTTCCCCTTCAACCCGGCCTTCATGAACGTCGGCCCCAGCCACCTAATCATCGAGTAGGACGCCGCAAACGCGATCCCGCTGAACGCTAGCGACGCGATGAGGGGTTCGCCATCGCCGCGGAACGTGTTCGCGATGATGCCGACGCAGGCGAGAGACAGTGAGAGCAAGCTGAGGGTTTCGGTGAAGGAGAGTTCGGAGGACGTCGAGGATGCCATTGGCGCGGGGCGGATCACCATGCTGGTGAGGCGGGTATGTGGGAGAGTTATGGAGAGGGGAGGAGAGGGGAGGAGAGGAGAGGAGAGGAGAGGAGAGGAGAGGAGAGGAGAGGGAATGGAATGGACGTCGTTGCGCCGGTCTGCGATTATGTCCGTGTATTCATGGTGACGAGGCTTCACAAGGCTGAGGTCCCGAGGAAGATGCCACGAATCGCGATCATGATGTACGTATCTATAAATAAACCATTTAAGCTCAGCGCTAGGCATGCTAAGTCAGCCCTGGCTGAAACTTGCCGTTTCGGGTTGACTTCGAGTCTCCCGAGTCCCGAGTCCCGAGTTCCGATGCCGACGGCTCCCATCCCATCCCGTCCCATCCCGTGGCTTTTCACCTTCGCAGATGGCAGACGCCAGACGCCAGACGCCAGACGCCAGACGGCTGTGCACATTAATCATCCTGAATTCCCCCCTCGTTATCCTCATGCAGCGGACTTCCCTTTCACAGATATCTTCATCATACTAGCCAGCCCCTCGCCAGCCCCTCGCCAGCCCCGTCCTCAGTCCTCTTGTACTGATTAACCTTCATCCCCAGCAAGTCCTCATACAACGGCACTGGTCTCTTCCAATGCCCGCCCGGTAAACAAGATACTGCCCCTTAGATGCGGCATCGACTCCAGTGTCTCTTGAATACAGCCTAGCATCCACCTCCCCAATCCCCTTCCCTGGTGAGCAGGCTTGATGTCCACATCGGTTAGGTACGCCATAGTGACGAAATCCGTCATAATGCGGCCACAACCGATGAATGTTGACTCGTCTGGAAGCGCGCTTGGGGTTTGAGATGCGGGACTAGTAGAGGGATAGGTGAAGTGTCGTGCGGTATAGGGTTATAGTACTAGGAACTGCAATGTGCATTGCAAGTCTGCTTTTGCACAACAAGAAGACGGCGAAACAGAGGGAGTTGTCGATAAGTGAGCGCATGGCATCTTCAGAGAGTGGGTAGCACCAGTACATTTCCTTGCTGGCGAATGCTTCGTTGACGTCTTTGACCGCGATGAGCGATGGGTTGGTGGTTATAAGGTACCCGTCGCGAATCTATGTGCAGGATTTGAGAGAGCCGATGGTTGGCTCCATGATAAATTGTTTCTCTCAGTTCAGGCCAGTCCAGTGCTTATGTATCTGTTGGACAGGAGAAACCCATTACGGGGAGAAGAGGTAGAGCGACACTTGTTTTGAGAGTGAGATATAGGGAGATAGATCCTTGCTATTACGCTGGATATTTGCTGAGTGCTGCTGTGTGAAGATCAAGTAAGTATGTTTGTCTGACTTGTTTGTATACGCTGAATGACTCAGGAGTTGTGACTCCAAATAGAAATACGACGCTTTCAAGAACGTCAGGTCGATCAATTGGCGATTTGGATGTACCCGGCCAAATCGGCGGACGTAGTCCAAAGCTGTGCGTACGAAGTAGAATCAAACGCACCGGAAACTTGGGGAATATTCTGATCCTCAACTGGTGACTTGTATAGCGGGTGTGCAGGAAAATCAAACACGTCAAATTTTTTAATTTTTTTTTAGCAGACTACCTATCAACCGGATCAATTTCGTCAAGTCTGAAGCTGATCAGCTCTGAATACTATTACTTGTCTACCGGTATTGGCTAGGCCTCGCTTAGCTCCAACCCACCACAGCCACACTGAAGCCACCCACACAACAGTCGGAGAAGTCAAACAAACCGGGCGAAAAAAATAGAGTGAAATGCAAAAGTTTTGTCCAAATGATCACTACGAGGGTCGAACTCGCGACCTTGGCGTTATTAGCACCACGCTCTAACCAACTGAGCTAAGCGATCGTGATGTGGTATCAAGAATACGGTTAATGACAAGGTCCTCGCACGTTGGTTAGATAATAATTTTATCAAAATTGCGACGCAGGAACTACGTTTGCCCACTTTGCCAAGCAAGCCCGGACTCCCTTCGTCACATACAACCAACTATCTTGATCAATAGACAGCCCTGTTTCTTTCTTACTTATTACCTACTTGTGAGACTCGAGAATTGCTAACTTGTGTTTATATCTGAAAATCCGTTCCGAAAAAAAGTGGAACAACGTACACCATTACTATGAACTGACAGGTACTCATTCGTAAATGACGTTCAGAAAAATGTCTTTCCATATATGTATAGCATACATCACGCAATATGGCCACTTACTTCACTGTGCGCCAACCATCCCTTCCAACAACACCAGCAACCCATAAGCCCCAGGGTCAGGAACGCCCCTTGTGGCCGACTCATCCAGATAACTCGACCTACCCAGCCTGGCCTCCAACATCTTGGTGCCTTCCACGCCATTCCCTGCCTCGCTCAACGCCTTCTTCGAGTCACCCGTCGCTTTCAAGGTCTCCACAAACGGAATCAGACAATCCAAGCACGTCCGGTCTCCCAGTCGCGCTCGCGTGTATCTCAGCAGGGACTCCAAGGCGCCGGCCAGGGCAGCGGGGAATGTCGACGCGTGGCGGAGATGCTGCGCCAGGGACGAGAGGAAGATGCAGTACAGAGCGCCGGATGTGCCGCCCATGGTCACCTCGAGGTCATCGACGAGATCGCGGAGAGTGGAAGGGAGCTTGGACAGGTCGGCGGTGCGGACGTAGCTCATGACTTGCGTCGCTCCGTCCCGCAGCGTGTAGCCGCAATCTCCGTCGCCGACGATGGTATCGTACTCCGTTATCGTGGACTCCTCTTTGATGACTCGCTCGCACCCTGCAGTGACCATCCGCCGAACTTGGGCGTCGGAAAACGTGATCGCGGATGTAATGTCGCTTGGCTCGGATGGAGCACTGTCGTTGGCACTGGCAAGTGGGTTTGTTGGCTTCGCTTGCGGTGTCAAGAGGTAAGCTGGAAGAACACATGATGATATCGCCCAGCCCCGTGCTTGGGACTGACTGTTGAGGATTGTGGATTGGGAGATATAAGACGCGGAGTCCCTCCCGGCTGTAGATCCTCAGCATCTCAATCGATCGAAAATCGCCGATTCACTCATATAACTCACCTAGGAAACCCGAAATCTCATGGGCCAAAATGTTGTTCTCTAAGCGAGAGAGGCCGTTTACGTCAGAGTAGTGAATGGAGAAGATCGAATCCGTCGATGGTGTTTTCGAGCGTAGTAAAGAACTCAAGTCCTTGTCTATCGAGGACTTGGCCGAGTTGAACGCGACGAGACCGGCAGCGTGAGCTACTGCAGGCCGGTCTCCAGATTTCTGCTTGTGGAAAGTAGATGTAGTATCTGCGGTGGACCCAACGAAGTGGTCTAGTAAGGCTCGAGTCTTTTCGAAAGACGCTCTAAGGGAGTTCAGGTTCATGATTTCAAATCCGAAGAAGAATCAACGCGATACATACTTGACATTGGGCTTTGCTGCCGCAAACAATGACAGGATGTGATCCAGCTTCAACACGCCATCCAGAGTAAGCTCTATGACGCCAGCCGCCATGGTCAGATCTTGAGCTCCGCCAGCGCGGAGCACGACGACCCCATTCTCAGTAGGGAATCCCGACTCCTCGAGAGCCCTTGCCAGATCTCGAGCCGAGATTCCCTTCTCCCTCTGCTCGACTGTGAAAGCTGCCACCAGATGCGACTCGCTCAAGATTTTGCTCGAGAAGTTCCCAACTCTCCCAACAACAGCAACGAGAACGTTTTCGCTGCTCGCCAGCGCGGTATCGACAAGCACCGTCTGGCCGTTTGCCGTTTCGATGCTTTTGACCGAGGGTCGTATGAGAGGGAGTAGCCGACTCCATCTCGTTGGGTCTTCGAGCTGGAGCTGCGCACTGCTGTAGGGGAGTGTTTGTTCGACAACAATGGACATGGTGAGGGAGGAAATGAAAATGGGCACTTTGAAAAAGGGCACTCTGTACAGGGTAAAAGGAAGAACGAATGACGGATCGTAAATACTAGAATGATCTTTTGCTTTCCAGCTCCTGTTATCAAACTGTCATTGGGAATTCATGCTTACCTGGTTGGGGCAGCAAACGGTAGTCCAGAAAGGGAAACCCGAAAACTGCACTGTACTGCGGGGGAGAGAGAGAGCTCCACGAGGACCATCGGCGCTCTTTGCGAGCCATCGGAACCACTTTGCGAGTGTTGCTTGCTTGCTTGCTTGCTTATATGTCCATGTAGTGTTTCCCGCCATGCGGATTTCCTATTTAGAACGAATCTAACCTATTCCATTCCTCCCCTCATCACATCATCACATCTTCACATCTAGGTGTCCTCATTGTGGTTTGCAGTCAAGCAATACCGAAACCTATTTTCTGCCTCAAGGTCTAGATAAATATATACATACATACCACCACACAATCGATCCCGCAGTTGACAAAGATGGCGACAGGAACCTACACCGGACAAACCGCAAAGAAAGAGACCTTCCACTTCATCAATGATGCCGCAGACGCCGTCAACGAAGCCGCAATCGGCCTTACCGAGCACAATCCAAACCTCTCGTACGCGACGGCACACAAGATAGTCTATCGCAGCGACCTGGACACCTTTCGGAAAGACCATGTGACAACCATTGGATTCGCAGGAGGTGGACAGTAAGTTGCACACGAGAAGATCCATATCCATATCCACATCCACATCCACATCCACATCCACATCCATACCCACATCCACATGACCCCTCTAGGAAATCCGAACGGTATCTTCTCTCTGTGATAGGACCTGGGCCCAGGTAGTCGTTGATCGATCTTTTGTAGCGAGCCCATGTTTGCAGGCTTCGTAGGCCCCTCCTTCCTCTCGTGCGCCGTGTCGGGGAACATCTTTGCGTCTCCCACTGCAGCACAGATCTTCGAGGCCATCAGGCTGTGCCAAGCGCCGCGACCACCACATCGTCACACGTCTTCGAAGGGAACGCTGATCGTGTGTGGGAATTACACGGGCGACATCCTCAATGCGGGCCTCGCCATCACGCGAGCCACGGCTGCAGGATACAAAGTCAGATTCACCCCCGTGGGTGACGACGTTGCGGTCGGCCGGAAGAAGGGAGGCAAGGTCGGCAGGAGAGGGTTGAGCGGTCACGTTGTTGGTCTGAAGATCGCTTGTGCGTTGGCGGATCGAGGGGAGAGTCTAGAGAGAGTGGGCGATGTAATGGAGTACATCGCGGCGAACTCGGGGACGATTGCTGTGGCTTTTGACCGGTGCGAGAACCCGACCGTATCTATCATGTCTGAGAACATCCACTGACTCCTCCCATCGTACAAGTGTTGCACTCCCAAATAACATCATGACCGAGATCCAGACACTTCCTCCAGCGACCATAGAGCTCGGACTCGGCTGCCACGGCGAGCCAGGGCTTCGCCAGATATCGCCTGTTCCAAGTCCAGAAGCTCTCACGAGAGAGATGATCACCCTTCTCACTGACACATCCGACGCAGACCGGGCTTTCATACCTTTCTCTAACTCCGAGAAGAAGGAGGAAGCCATACTTCTGGTCAATAGTTCTGGGAGTACCTCCGACGAAGTTCTCGCTCGCTTTGCTGAGCTGGCCATTGCGGAGCTGGATAGCCAAGGGATAACTGTGAAAAGAATGACGCTGGGACCCATGGTGACGAGTCTAAAGCAGAGTGGGTTTGGCTTCACTGTTTGGAGGTTGCCAGGGCTGGAGGAGAAATGTGTGTTGAGCAGACATGAAGCGTTAGCGTTTTGGGATAGGGAGGTACAGACTGCTTCTTGGAGGCAGTAGAGATACTTGTGATGTGGGTGGGGCGCTGGATGTGGATGTGAAAGATGTTTATCTCAAATGGCTATGGGAATTTTGAATCGGAACAATGCCGTGTGCAAGGTATAAAATTCTAATGTGATTGCGAGACGCATGGTGATGCGATATGCCAAAAAAATGGCGGTGCGAATTTCCAGAGCACGAGTTTAAGCGTGGAGCGAAGCGAAGGGAAGTAAGCTAATGAAAGCATGACGGATCAGAGGGTTGGCAGAGCTCGTCACTATAGGACTGTTTGAAGTATGGATGAGTATTAACGGAGAACTTGCGGCAAAAGAGTTGTAATCGGAACGTAGCAGCACATGTCGCGTTCACACCAAACAGCAATAAAAACATCACGAACTCGATCAAAAACAGGGAATATCTGATCGGTTACTCTCATACCCCCCAAAGAAAAAGGACGCCCCTTTATAAAACAACAAATTTGAAGGCAAACGAGGGACCGGCAATCTCGGATATCGGCTCGGCGGCCACCAGCGCTCACACCCGATCAGCGCCAATCAAAACAAATCACCACTCCTGGTCGAGGAAAACGAATCCTGTGTCTCCTGCTCGAGTCAGAGACATGATCTGATTTACGCTTCTCTACTCTTTCGGTAGCTGGCCTGCAATAAAGGCGCATCATCAGCTTTGGTTTCCAATTCTGATAGCCTGTCTCTTTGATTGGATTATGCAGTGAAATCTCCGGAACGACGTACTTCTTGCTCAACCTGGAGGCCGTCAACGACGGGCGCGAGTTCGCTGAGGATCTCGTAGGCCTTCTTGTGAAACTCGAGTTGAGCAGCGATAAGATCTGCAAGGTTGCGGAGAGGCTCGGGGGTATCGAGGACCTATTGTTGTTAGTTTTAGGGGCTGTAGAGTATAGACTTTAACACGCACATTCTTCATAACGCCAACTGCCTCCTCGGTCTGGCCAACAAACTCATCCTCGGCCTGCTCAATCTCAACTCTAGCGTCCTCGGAAGTATCTTCATGATCAGCGCCATCAGCCGTCTTGACCTGGCCAGGCAAGTGCCATCCAGGGTTCTTGGCCTTGGCCTTTGCAGCATCGAGAAGCAGTCTTGAATTCTCGACGCCCTTTCTCGCACGAGTAGCAAACATCAAGTTGGTGTTCAAGGTCGTGCTCCAGCCTGCGAGAAAGCGGCTTTGGATCTGGGAGTCTTGGGCGAGTCTGGCTTCTCCGACACGCTCGCTGGCCAACGCGTACTTCTCAAGGGCTGTGGATAGGGGGTCCTCCCCGGCGCCGGAATTTTGTTGTTGCAGCAACTGGCTGCTGGCCAGACTGGCGCGGGCAATAGCATGGTTGAAGGTCTTGGGCTGAGGCTTTGCGGAGGGAGGGGCAGTGAATGCTGCTTGGGCTTCGGCGGGGGTAGTGGCGGAGGACAAAAGGTGGACTTTCTCGCTGACGGTGCGGCCTAGGTCTCCGAAGGACTCCTTGATGTTCGCTGGGTAATCGTAGGCTTCGTTTTGGTATTGGGAACTGACGGCAATCATCTGTCAGATAACGAGTCTAAGAATATAATATGGGTGGCATGAATACGCACGTAACCTGCAGCATCTTCTGATGAACCTGCTTCAAGGCATCGACCCGCTTCTCCAACTCAATGTAATCCGGGGGAAGTTGAGTCTGCAGCAGACACTGGTAAGCAGCTGATCATGCGCCATGCAGCAGAAGCAAAGCATCTCTGACCTTGTCCTCAGCCTGTCCAAGCTGTTCCTTGACATATTGCTGAGTGCGTGCGGCAAACGGCGTAAATGAAGCCCTGTGGAACCAGTATTAGACCTATATAGTTTTCGAGGCAGGCCAATAGATAACGAAAGAGCACAGTTGAGCATAGTTTTTTTTTAGTGTGAATGACGTACGAGATATTCTTTCCGAAGGCAGATACTTTATCCATTTTGAAGGTTGTGGGATGAATCGTATATGATGGCGAATCTGGTTGACAAGCAGGTGTCTGGTATGTTGCAAGTAAACGTTAACTTCGATCAAGATCCCCTGGACTGAGAGCCCCACCACTCCTTGGTCAGGCACGTGACATTAAAGCAAAGCCACAACAGAAGGATAAGCTTGCGTATTGTGCGAAATTATCGTATAGTATACGAAGTCTTGTTCGCAATATTCTATAAGCTGTGACTGCAGAGCATGGTCTTTCTGTCTAAGAACTTGGTTGACTCGTGAGTCGTCAACCTTCTTTCGGATGCGCCTAGACGCCTAACAACAACCAACCACCTAAAGTCCTCGCTTGTTCCAAGCATCAAAATACCGCATCATATTGACATTGTGTAAAAAGTGTTTCAAGCAAAGTGCTGTATGTAGCTTTTCGAACCTCCCTAACTGAGTCCCTCCCAAAACTCCATGCAATGCCCACCAGTACTCCACCAGCTCTCTAATCTAAAACCTGCTTGTTGTCTGCCCAGCTAGGCTCAATACTTTTGCAAACGCCCTCGTAATCCCCAAACCGCTGCCTATCCAGGCCCAAATCCGGCGTCGTCCAGAACATCGTCCATCCCGTCTCCGGCACCTTCCACGTCCCCCTCGACCTCTCGAAGTACCATTTGTTAACCGGGTTATTCCTCCTCGAGCGCCACACGCAACCCTGAGGAAAACAGTCTCGCACCATGGCATTAAATATCAGGTCTGCTACGCCTCCGGATCCTTGGGCTCGTTTGAGCACGGCAAATTTGTCGAGATAGGGCACCATTCGAGCGCGGTTTGAGGGGAGCCCATCGTCAGGGACGCCGGGGGGTGTTTCCCAGGTTAGAAGGGCGCCGCCTTCGTACTCACCGGCTATTATGACTCCAGCGATGTGGCTGTTTACTCGATTGAGATACCCTTGGACGTCAAGTTTGCGGCCAAATGAGTCCTCGATTAGGTGGACCAACCGAGGCAGGTCAATTGCCGAGTCCGTCAAGGTCAATTTTGCTTGGCCAGGAATCGGTGGTTGCCACGGAGAAATTGATGGGTCTGGGAAGATAGAGACGGACATGCCATGTTTTGCAAAGGTCGTCGGAGTGATTCTTTCTGCCGGTGACGAATTCTCAGTTGCGGAAGTCTGTTGACTTAGACGTCTTACTGGCAAAGAGGAAGAGAAGACAGGCTTGTCTGTGAGTAAATTATGGATGAGCGGATTTCGCTGACGTCTGGTGCCGACTCTCGCAGCTTGAAACGGCGCATCATTGCTAGAGTTTGCTGCCTCTTCGGGTGTTGTCAAGAGAGCAGATGAGCTGGTCGGTAGCATAGACAGGACCCCGCGGACCAGCTGCAAATTCTGGAGATGGTACCAGTTCTCGGCTTTAGGCTTCGCAGTGGTTTCCTCGCTAGGCGTGGCAACCAATGGCTTCGGATCCTCAAGCTCGACGAATTTCGAAAGGAGGTTGCTTAGTCCTGGGTCTGATGAGCTCTCCTCCTTCGCTTGAGCTTTTAGCGAGCTTTGATCCATTTGTGGATACAATCCCTTGAGCAAGTCCTGCTTAATCGGCTCAAACTCTTGTTCCATGTTCAAAAAGACGTGATAGCCATTATCCCGATCAGTTGAAGGTACACCTCCAAGCGGATCCAGAACAATGAGCCGATCTAATGAAGCTTCCCTCTTGACATCATGCAACTCCGTCTGTAAAACCTTGTGGTCCTCATCGAGCGATAGAGTCAAGGGAAGGCCCGCTAACTCTCTCGTGAGGGCTAACACAACATCCGTAGCCAAAATTGGCACCGCAATCTGTTGAGCATCCGAATACCCAATTGAAGGAATGACCGGAATTATATTCCTCCTCAGCGGGACCATCAGCAGATTGCGACTCGAAACATGTGCCCTCGTCTGCCCGAACCCCGGGCGCGCCGGCTCCTCAGAAACCCCGATGATATTGTCCACAAGCCGAGCCCCCGTATCCCGATTAGCATCAATGGCAGCAACCAAGCGATTCGCCTGCTCAATCTCCGCCGTCTTCCAATCCTTATTGCTGATTCCTTCTCCATAAGGCGGGCCTGAGTTGTTGCAATCGACCACCACTACACTCACTAGCCCCAGTCTAGCAAGCTGCGCAAGTGTTTTTCCAATACCATCGAGCGTGATGTGGTCCAAAATCTGCGGAGCCCTGATCTTTACCAATGCAACATGCAACTGCGGTCCCGCAGTATCCCGGGCCAGCTTTTCAGGCTGCTGCACGAACTTTGGACTCCTCGTCACCGCCGCAGGCCCGTAGAAGCCACCGAGATTAACACCACATGGTTGTGACTGAGGCGCCGGTTTGGCAGTCGCAGTCGCAGAGGGGACTTCTTCGGAAGGAGTGAAGCGCTGAATGTAGGACCTCGCTTCGCGTTTCGTGGCCGAGGAGCCTAGGACTGAGATGAAGAAGTCCTTGCACCCATTAATCATTTGTTCAAAAGCCCCAAGAAGGAAGTGTATGGTACCTTGTCGAGTGCTTTGGCTTTCTTTTTCGCCTTCTCCCGGTTCTCCAAGTCTTTGACATGCTCCCTCGCCAGCGCCTCTTTCAATTGACTGTCCTGAATACTTTTGTTTGCCAATCCCCTCCCGTGCTCCGCCATAAATCTCGAGTTATCATTTCCAAAATAGTTCCAGCATCGGATCTACATCCATCAGTCAGTTAAAGCTCCCCGCTCACCGCCGCAAGCATTCCAACTCACATTACGACCACCCGCTGGTCTGCCCTGTCTCAAGGCTGATTGTTGCAAGATCATTCTGCATATTGCACAGTATTACCGTGGTAGTTTCATGGGAGGTTTTTAGGGTGTATGAGGAGGGAAAAGGCCAGTGGAGAGAGGGAATTCTTTTGAAGTTGGGAAGCTGTGTGACTGCATGACTGCGTAACAGCGTGATATGCCCAGGGATTTTTATGGGATCGGAGTTAAACTTCCGCCTCCGCATGCGATAAAGGCCTTATCGCCATGCCATGTGGATGACGCATTTCGAGGACGGGCGGACAATAGAGGATTTTCAGGGAATATTTACATAGCTTGGCTATTGGGGATACCCATACCTACTATTGTTCAAGTGTGTGGGAAAGTGGAATACTTGTACGAGTGGAGTAGGTAGGTACCG